AGCGCCCCCTACAGACTATTTCAAAGTTTTAGATGGGCATTTTCAAATTTAGTTTTTTCAAAATGTTTGAAATTTTGCACATAAATCTGTTTTGCCCTCTTGATTCAAAAAGTCAATTGGGTCCAAGGCTTATTTTTTACCCTGTTGCCGTGGCGACGACGAGAAACGCTCCCCATTCTTTGCAAATGTACACCTCACACAAACATCAAACCAGCCACGGCCGTTTCACCGATTTGCCTCAAAATCGCTCCACATCATCTCAACACATGTACCATCAAAATGACTTCAGGGAATTTTGATCAGTGAAACATTTTTCGAGCAGCAGAGCGCCAAAAAGTGGCGTATTTTTTTTCAGTTTTTGACGATAGAAAAATTGCTTCCGTTTGCACAAACAAAGTCTGATTTGCACAAAACTTGAATCCATGGATCAACTCTTGGGTCTAGGTCATTTGAAATTTAAAATTTAGAAATTGGCTCTATAGCGCCACCTACAACAGCCAATTTAAAAATGCCTCTGGGAGGAGTTTGAGGTCAAAATTGTCATAGAACCATGTAATTTGGAACACATGTTCCTCAAGTCAAGTCATGGAAAAAATGTAATTATGGCTAAGCCCTCTGACAAACAGGAAGCCCATAAATTTCATTGCAAAATGGAAAAATGAAAACCAATCATTTTCATACACGTCGGTTGGTAAGCGACTCTTCCTCCGCCGTTTCACCGATTGGCCTCAAAATTGTTCCAAATCATCTCAACACATTTACCTTCAAAATTACTTCAGGGAATTTTGATCAGTGAAACGTTGTTTGAGCAGCGGAGCAGCAAAATGTGAGGGTTTTTTTGCCGTTTTTGACAACATTAATTTTTTTCCCGTTTAGACAAACAAAGTCTGATTTGCATTAAACTTGAATCCATTGTTCAACTCCAGGGTTTAGGTCAGGTGAAAGTGAAATATTTGAAATTGGCCCATTAGCGCCCCCTACAGACTGAATCAAAGTTTACATGGGGAGCCAAACCAGCTCTACTTATCATAGTCATTACAATTTGACTAACAATCTTCTATGGCTACGGGAACAAATCATCACACGGCGGCGCCACCTCCTTTGAGCGGTGCTGCGTGGTACGGTGTGGTGCGGCGTAGTGCGGGGCGTTGTGGAGCGGCGCGTTGCGGCTTGGTGCGGGGCGGCGTGATGCGGGACGGCGTGGTGCGGGGTGGCTTGGCAAGGGGTGGTGCGCGCGTTGCGGGGGGTGCGCGCGGTGCGGGGAGTTGCGCGGTGCGGCGAGGGCCGTTCGACGCCGCTTGCGGCTTTATTTATTTATTAGGCCCGAGCCCCGAACGGGGTAAGGGCCTATTGCTTTCACAATGGTGAAAACAAATGGTGGCGGTGCGTGACGGACGCGTCAGCGCCCGTCACTCACCAAAACGTAACGGTTGCGTGCGTAAACTCAAAAGCTTTAAAATGATGTATCACGTGCCATTGAAACCTATATTGTTTTTGCTCGAGACGTCAAAAAAAAAATTCCTTTTTTATTTCTTTCTTTCTTTCTTTCTTTCTTTCTTTCTTTTTTCTTCTGCACTTTGAGCCTTAATTTGACCCCCTGAACATGCATGAAAAGTTGTTAAATTTTGCCCAAAAATCAGACCTGGCGAAAAATTTGATATTTTGGTGTTTATTTTAATGGGACTCAAAAAATGCCGGAACAGCGCCACCTACAACAGCCAAAATAATACCCCTATGGGACTTTTAGAGATCAAGTTTGTCGTAGAGCCATGAAATTCGGTACACATGTTACTCAAGTCAAGACAAGAAAAAAATATTATTATGGCCCCGCCCCCTGACAAACAGGAAGCCCATAAATTTCACTGCAAAATGGAAAAATGAACAGCAAAAGTTTTCATACATGTCGGTTGGAAAGCGACTCCTCCTCGGCCGTTTCACCGATTCACCTCAAAATCGCTCCACATCATCTCAACACATGTACCTTCAAAATGACCTCAGGGATTTTTGATCAGTGAAACATTGTGTGAGCAGCGGAGCGGCAAAATGTGACCTTTTTTTGGCCGTTTTTGACAACATTAAATTTGCTCCCGTTTGCACAAACAAAGTCTGATTTGCACAAAACTTTAATACATTGTTCAACTCTAGGGTCTAAGTCATTTGAAAGTGAATTGATTCAAATTGACACATTAGCGCCCCCTACAGACCATTTCAAAATTTTAGATGGGCATTTTCAAATTTAGTTTTTTCAAAATGTTTGACATTTTGCACATAAATCTGTTTTGCCCTCTTGATTCAAAAAGTCAATAGGGTCCAAGGCTAATCTTTTACCCTGTTGCCATGGCGACGACAAACGCTCCCCTTTCATTGCAAATGTACACCTCACACAAACATCAAACCAGCCTCGGCCGTTTCACCGATTCGCCTCAAAATCGCTCCACATCATCTCAACACATGTACCTTCAAAATTACTTCAGGGAATTTTGATCCGTGAAACGTTGTTTGAGCAGCGGAGCAGCAAAATGTGAGGGTTTTTTTGGCTCTTTTTGACAACATTAATTTTGCTCCTGTTTGCACAAACAAAGTCTGATTTGCACAAAACTTTAATCCATTGTTCAATTCCAGGGTTTAGGTCAGGTGAAAGTGAAATATTTTAAATTGGCCCATTAGCGCCCCCTACAGACTGAAGCAAAGTTTACATGGGGAGCCAAACCAGCTCTACTTATCATATTCATTACAATTTCACTAACATTCTTCTATGGCTACGGAAACAAATCATCACACGGCGGTGCCACCTCCTTTTAGCGGTGCTGCGTGGTACGGTGTGGTGCGACGTAGTGCGGGGTGATGTGGAGCGGCGCGTTGCGGCTTGGTGCGGGGTGGCGTGGTGCGGGACGGCATGGTGCAGGGCGGCTTGGTGCGGGGCGGCGTGGTGCGGGGAGTGCGCGCGGTGCAGGGAGTTGCGCGGTGCGGCGAGGGCCGTTCGACGCCGCTTGCGGCTTTAATTTCTTTCTTTCTTTCTTTCTTTCTTTCTTTCTTTTTTCTTCTGCACTTTGAGCCTTAATTTGACCCCCTGAACATGCATGAAAAGTTGTTAAATTTTGCCCAAAAATCAGACCTGGCGAAAAATTTGATATTTTGGTGTTTATTTTTATGGGACTCAAAAAATGCCAGAACAGCGCCACCTACAACAGCCAAAATAATACCCCTATGGGAGTTCTGAAGATCAAGTTTGTTGTAGAGTCATGAAATTCGGTACACATGTTCCTCAAGTCAAGACAAGAAAAAAATATTATTATGGCTCCGCCCTCTGACAAACAGGAAGCCCATAAATTTCACTGCAAAATGGAAAAATGAACAGCAAAAGTATTCATACATGTCGGTTGGAAAGCGACTCCTCCTCGGCCGTTTCACCGATTCGCCTCAAAATCGCTCCACATCATCTCAACACATGTACCTTCAAAATGACCTCAGGGATTTTTGATCAGTGAAACATTGTTTGAGCAGCGGAGCGGCAAAATGTGACCTTTTTTTGGCCGTTTTTGACAACATTAAATTTGCTCCCGTTTGCACAAACAAAGTCTGATTTGCACAAAACTTTAATACATTGTTCAACTCTAGGGTCTAGGTCGTTTGAAAGTGAATTAATTCAAATTGACACATTAGCGCCCCCTACAGACTATTTCAAAGTTTTAGATGGGCATTTTCAAATTTAGTTTTTTCAAAATGTTTGAAATTTTGCACATAAATCTGTTTTGCCCTCTTGATTCAAAAAGTCAATTGGGTCCAAGGTTTATTTTTTACCCTGTTGCCGTGGCGACGAGAAACGCTCCCCATTCATTGCAAATGTACACCTCACACAAACATCAAACCAGCCTCGGCTGTTTCACCGATTCGCCTCAAAATCGCTCCACATCATCTCAACACATGTACCTTCAAAATGACTTCAGGGAATTTTGATCCGTGAAACGTTGTTTGAGCAGCGGAGCGGCAAAATGTGAGGGTTTCTTTGGCTCTTTTTGACAACATTAATTTTGCTCCTGTTTGCACAAACAAAGCCTGATTTGCACAAAACTTTAATCCATTGTTCAATTCCAGGGTTTAGGTCAGGTTAAAGTGAAATATTGGAAATTGGCCCATTAGCGCCCCCTACAGACTGTGTCAAAGTTTACATGGGGAGCCAAACCAGCTCTACTTATCATATTCATTACAATTTGACTAACATTCTTCTATGGCTACGGAAACAAATCATCACACGGCGGTGCCACCTCCTTTTAGCGGTGCTGCGGCGTAGTGCGGGGCGTTGTGGAGCGGCGTGTTGCGGCTTGGTACGGGACGGCGTGGTGCGGGACGGCGTGGTGCGGGACGGCATGGTGCAGGGCGGCTTGGTGCGGGGCGGCATGGTGCGGGGAGTGCGCGCGGTGCAGGGAGTTGCGCGGTGCAGCGAGGGCCGTTCGACGCCGCTTGCGGCTTTAATTATATAATTATTATTACTATTATTATTATTAGTAGTAGTATTTTATTTCTATGGACGAAATAATTCCATCGTATGTATCTCACTTGAAACATCATAGTTCCTCCCTCCTAAAAATGTTTTTTTTATCACTAGTTTTTAAATACATGCTTTTTTTTATTTTATCACTGTCACATCTTAAGAGAGCGCCACTCTGCAAGAGGTGTTTTCTAAAAAAAGTATCTTGTGTGGAAACTTATAAAACTGTTAAAAATGAGGAACCATATCTAACATATCTAACCATGTCCAGTCGTCTTGCATTTATGGGATGGATTTTAGCTGCGTAAATGGTATGTTTTACACAGTATACGTGGCTGTAAAATGTTAACATCAGAAAAAACTTAAACAACTGTTTAAAAAGACAAAACTAAAATCAGCACAAACTTTTCAGGAGCCTTTACTTTTGGGCGGAAGTGAGTCTTTTGGACACAGATGCTAACGCTAGCTTAACACAAACCAACGCAGCCAGCAGCAGACGTGACTTTATGGGATGGGACCAGTGTCTCCAGCGGCAGACACGGCTCATGTGGTAGAGTTTGGAAGTGGAGGAGACACACAGACGACCGCGGGCTCTCGGCTCATGTTGCCCCGGACAAAGTGCACTCTCAGCGGGAGCGAGGAGCAGCATTGCGCGCGGGCTTCGGAGGGAAATGGGAGCAGTGAAGTGAAAATCCCCCCAAAAGTGGCGAGTTGGGATCAAAGTCTCTAAAGTAAGTTCAAACTCAGAAATAAGATGCTTAAATGCACGCTAAATACCAGAAAGTACTGTTGTATGTGTTAGGATAATTGTTTGTTGATGAGTCTTGTGGTTTGAAATGTGGACTTTCTATGGTAGCTCAAATTTCACTTTTTGCCTTGTGTTTAAGAAACCGCCCCTGGACTGTCCTCGCTGAACTGGCCATAGTTATGTCATTCAGTATCTCTACAATTCGTGTTAACGTGGGTAAAGTTATTTATTATGTGCTGATTTCAATGACAGCGCAGATAAAGAGAGGGGCGGGGTTGGTTTTACTAAAGATCAGTGGGAGAGCTTTTATGTGGTCATTGTTTTGATTTGCAGCTTTCACCCTCACCACTGGAAACAAATGTATGTGATATTTTCTCTCTACGTAAGTATAAAGTTCCCAGACTATGACTGGAGTTTGTGGTTTTGTTCAGTGCACTTTTTCAGATGATTAACAGATGCAGGCGTGTAACACAGACAGATGCAACAAATTGAAGACAGATTTTAGAGTTCATCATATTCCTTTAGATATAAGAGGTGAGTTAGGCTGACATGATTTGTTCTTTCCATAAAGTGCTGTGCACTTTTCAAAGCTAATGTTTGACCTTGTATTCAGTCCGTTTTATTTTTGTGCGATCTTTGAGCCATGACATTTTTAATGGACTACCATGACCTGATGTCACGGTAATGTGAATATATCAGGCTTTCATTGAGATCTTTACAATTACAATTAGGAGGATGGTGATAGTGACAAAAGGAATACATCATTAGCTATATAACCAAGCTAAAGGGTTTACCAGCATGCTTTACTTTAAATTGAGTGTTTTGTAGGTATTTCTAAATGTTGTATTAAAATGCCCACATTTTCAAAGCGGCAATAAGGACAGTAAAGAAAAAATAAAGACAAGTTATATTGTTTGTACATATTTCCTACTCTTCTCTTCAAAACCAATGATCAAGATGATCTATTTACCACGCCATAGCCATATTTGTATTTGGCCAAGTCATAATTTTATTTGATCAGTGGTGCTCTAGGTACAGGTTTTCTTTTCTCAAAAAGTAAAATTGGAAAAAAGAAACCCTTTAAAAAACTACAGCTAGAGTACTTATGTGTATTTATTCTGAAAACTGCTGCTCTGTTTCTGAACTAATTGTTTTAAAGCCCTTAAGGGCCTCCAATTTAATTAAACTCCCAATCACTTTCTTGATGCAGTGTGAAAGGATTACTGTGGCACCACTTTCAGCGATGTGCTTTGAAGTAAAGAGTGGTGACAACAGAAATATAGCCAAATAACAGTTTATTAGTCTAATTAAAAGTGTAAAAAAAGCTTTTCTGATGTGGTTGGTTCAAGATTTCCCATGACAACACTGTGTGAGAACAAACATGAAAGTGAGAAGAAGCTGGAGCTTGATTTTAAAGTCAAGTGACTTTTTAAAACTTTACTTTCAGCTCAACTTCTGTTTGTGGAGTGTTGTAGTTGTTAAAGGAGTGACAGTAGGTTTAAATTTATTACACACAGTCTGGAAGAACCACCTGGTCTTCAGAGTTCACGGCTGAAGCCACAGACGGAGCGGAAGAGACGATGACAAGCTACTGATGACCACGTAGTTTTCTTGTTAAAACACAGGATAACGTTTGGTGTTTCTGGCTTTCTCATGTTTAGTCTGCACATGGTTTGGCTTGTGGTTTGGCAACGGAATTTCATAGTGTGTTTGCCATATGGATAAACATTCAGTTGCTACTCATTGAAAAATCTTCTAAATTGTGCATATTATAATGATCTCCGTATAAAAGCCATTTTTCTAAAGGCTCCAACTGAATGAATGGTCGCTTCTAAAACTTGCTTAAAATCTCTTTTAAAGTTAATTTCCCTGTAAGCCCTCTTAACACATTTAATTGCTGTGTGTACAAAATGTGCTTTATACAAAATGTCTTCCTTCTTTTAAAACAAATATCTAAATCCTCCATGAATCTCTACACCAGTGAAACCCAAAGTGTGACCTTTTGGCTAGGTCTGGATTCATTAGACCAGGTTAATTAAAGGTTATATTTATGCTGCTAAAATATGGAAGAGTCTTCCTGAAAATGTGAGACCGGCTTCTACTGTGACTGTTCATATGCAGGTAAAAACAGTTCTGTTTAGCTGTGCATAGAACTGAAGGATTTTATCTTTACTCTTTTTATTTGCACTGTGATTATGTTGCTACTTGACAACCTAACAGGTCCAAGTTGCAAGTTTATGGTGTTTTTTACTAAAACTGCACAGTATTTTTAACCCACTATTATTTTAGCCCACACATTTCTAACAAGTCATGACAATTTGTTACTGTTACTTCATCTCTTGCATAACTCCTCAAGCCTAACCTTTACTATACTCTGATAGCGGCATTGTCCAAACAGGCCGAGTGTGCTTTCACATGCAATCCAGCATGACCTGCAGCAGGGATTTAGACCTGAAAGGATTCTAACAACTCACTAAATCTTTTCAAACCAGTTTAGACAAAGGGTGTGTTCTGTAACTATTTACCCTGAGTATTCACACAAATGCATTCACTGCACTCAAATCATTCACCTTTGCTGTGTCATTCCTGAATCTTGGGTCACCCTAGTACGTGCTGTGCTTTATAAGTGAATAAGTGAATTCAGTACATTTATTTGCATGGCTCTAAGTGTTTCAGGCCGATATCTATCTTGAGTAGATCGCTGGCACTTTGCTTTCATTGATTGACTTTTTATGATTATGATTACTACTTGTGTTTCGGTATGCAATGCCAATGTTATTCCTTGTCCTGTATTGGTAAAGTTAATGGCCCAAACAAAACTTACAACCCAGCATTTTCCCAAGAACAACTATGAAAGTGCAAATGAATGCTTTTGATTAAAGAAGAAATTGGGTCACACCCACTGGGAAGTCGCAGTACAGACAGAAAAGTATATAAAGCATTTAATCTTAGTAGTTTTTCATTTTAATACCAAAGACCGAAGAAAACGGTGTCGGTTGCGTTTCCAAATAGATTCATGCTGAAAACCTGGAACTTTTTAAACTAATTGTATAAGAATCATCATTTTATTCCTGGATTAATTTGGATTTTGACCTATGCATGGCACTTAGCCATTGTCACTGAGGCCCAAAAACATTGGCACTCTTATTGCAAAATTGATACCCAGCAGCTTTGCCTGGATCTGAAGCAATGAGGGCTGTGTATTGTATAAAATGTATAACCACAATGTATTCTAAACATTGAACTCAATAAATGGTTAATAATTAATCCTAGTGTCAACTAATTTTGTTCAGAAAAAAATAATAACCCCACCTATTTTAAATTATTCTGACAAATATATCTCTAACTTAAAATATAAATGTAAAAAAAAAAAAAAAAATTAAGCACAGGGGCAAAATACAAACACTGAAAACAAAGGTATACCTTTGTGTAAAACCATAGCCAAAAATAGGTTGCGGCCGACGACCAGTTGGAATTTCAGGGAGCAAGTTTAAAATTACAACATTAAAAATCAGTGTTTGTTCGGCTGCATGTCAGGTAATTATAAAAAAATCTATTCGTTTGATCTTTCTTTTGTTGCAATGTTAAACATGTATGTTAAAAGGCTCTCTCGTTGTTCCCACAGACCATGATTGATTTGGTGTTGTGGCTCGCCGTGTCCTCGCTGGCTTTGGTCCAGTCCGGCGCGGTGCAGAACTGTCACTCGGGCTGCCGCTGTGAGGTTGAGAGCTTTGGTCTGTTCGACAGCTTCAGCCTCACCAGAGTGGACTGCAGTGGTCTCAACCGCGGTTACACCATGCCCATCCCCATCCCCCTGGACACGGCACACCTGGACCTGTCCTACATCTCCATAATGGGCCCACTCACAGACACCATGCTGGCCGGGCCAGGCTACACAACGCTGGTTAGTTTGGACCTCAGCAATAACCACGTAACAACAGTAAGTTCACATACCGGCCTGTTGAATACCAGTACTGGTTAGAACCGCCCATGTTCAAAAATAATTCAAGTCCTTGAGGAGCTGTAATCATTGATTTAACCATTTTCTTCCAGCAAAGATTACTAGTCACAATTATGCCAAGGGGAGAGTTATTTTAAATATATAATTGTAGAAGAGACTTATTGTACTTGTTAGTACAGTGTCCCATGGTCATAAGAATACTTTAAAACATTTGTTTTGTTAGATACAATTGCCGACGTCACCTTTAACACCCCGTTGAAATATTGATGTTATCGTGCTGTTTATCAAATTACATGTTTTGGTGTCTATTATTACTGGTATCGTCATTTGTTTTTGTCTTTCAACCTAGACCAACCGGTTTTTATCCAATGTTATACTAAAGCTTTATTGACTCCCGGCTAATATGCCTGCCAGATGTACGCCGTCCATAACTTATCTCATTGATTAACTAGGAAAAAGGTTATTAATCAGTTAGTCAATCAAGTTTTATCGCGTTATATAATAGGTCTTGCTACTTTTTTGGCCTCTGTGCAGTGACTTGCCCTCTACCTTCCACCTGTTGTCTTTGCATGCATGTTCAAACATACAGATAAACCTTTTACCTACTCTGTAATTGTCTTATCATTCGCAGGTAAGCCCTAATGCTTTGTCCAGGCTGCGTTATCTCGAGTCTTTGGATCTGAGCCACAACAGTCTGGCAGCACTAGCTTCCGATCTCTTCTTCGGCCTCCCATTATCCGAGGTGGACCTAAGCTACAACAACTTTGAGGATTTTGACATGAATGTGTTTGCAACCAAAGTGAGCGGTGAACCCGTAACTGTGGATTTGTCCAATAATAAACTCACAAAGATGTCAACAGCCTCGCATGGAAAACCTTTGCACATTCAGAGTTTGAACTTGACTGCCAATCGATTCACGAGTGTTCCAAAGCTGTCCGGCCTCTCGCTGTCGTACCTAAATATTGACGCAAACCCCATCAAAAGCATCAAAGAAGGAGGGCTTTCAAAGTTGGAAGATTTAGTTTATCTGTCAATCAGCAGCAGCAAAGAACTTAAAGACATCGACCCGTTTTCATTCAAAGACTTGCAAAATCTTCAAGTTCTGGATCTTTCTAACAACCAAAACCTTAAAAACTTGGATCCCAGAGTGTTCGCTGGACTAGTCTCGCTGCAAGAGCTCAATTTGTCCAACTCCGGAGTGGTGTCGCTGCCAAATGCAATGCTCGCCCACCTGCCCAGTATAAAAAGTATCAAGCTGGGACAGAATATTCGCTGCTGGAAGACAAAGAAGCCGGGGCAGTTTCACTTGCACCTGGGGCAGCAACAGCCCACAGAGGTGCTCAACTGTAACGCAGAGGGCATCGGGTTGTAAGGGTTTTAGAAATGGTCTATCAGAGAATTTGAACCAGTGCGGCCTTATGTTATGACCCTTTCTGTTACGCAAATAGTATCTCTTGTTTGGTGGAGAGTCTCGTTCCAGAACTGACTGGAAATGGTTTTGTAAAGTGGTGCAGACCGGAGGATATCAATGTAATCTATTACTAATCAAGACCAAAAGTAAAGCATTTTGCACTTTTCTGGTAAAACATTTACATTTCAGCACATTCACAACACGACTGAGGCATTAGCCTTTTTAGCCACTTTTTAAAATTCTTTTTAGAAGCATTAGCTATAAATGCATCTTAAACTTATTTTAGGTCTTCATGATAACAATTTCCAATCCCAAAGTGTTGAAATCTTGCATTCCAATCAAATGGATAAAAAGAATAGTCTAATCGCAGTGATCGACTCTTTGGAAAAAACGTTATTTCCGTTTGTATTTGAGATGTTTTGTTTTTATATTCTAGAAACACAGAATCTGAAGATGTAGGTATGTCAGTATTATTTTTTGTAAATTAATTTCGTCCTACAAATTAAAACACAAAGCCTTTTACCCTTTTGATTCACAATGAGTTCATAAAACTGTTACTGGAACAAAAGTCAATCAAATTAACTTCAAGATTCGACTGTTTGGTCAATACTTATCAATGATGGTAGAATATTGATTTTTACAATAATAGTTACATTCCTGATCTGAATATCGACAGAGGTAATAATATTGTTTGACATTCCTGTGGAAACGTTAACAAGCTCAGGACTGCAGATGGTGGAAGAGATTTTGATCATTGAATTTTATATTTTGCATTTGTAGAAGTTTATATTTGTATCTTTGTAAGTATGTTGTATATAACAAATGGATTTCTATGATGTAATAAATCTGTTTTTCTCTTGACTCTGTGTGACTGTTACTGAATTTACTGATAGTTTTATTCAAACGAGGGGCAAAAGGGAAACGCATTTAACACTAACTTTTTCCCCATAAATAATACACTGTGTTTGTTCCGAAAGTAAGTCTTGTAAAAGTAACCTTTTGTGAACAAATCCGACAACACATGCACTGGCTTAATCTTATTAGGATACTGTCTTTTTATTTTCCAAAGCTATACATTTGGGTATTAAATTTAGGTACCCTGGATTTAAATTGTAATAATTTGAATCAACTACACTTGGATGTAGCAGATTCTTCCTGCAAATGGCCAACTACAGTGGGATGGGGTCTGAGCTAAAAATCTACTACATTCTCAATCTAGATTATTGATCATTATTGAAACCAGCCTCAAGCCTTGTTTCTTTTCTATTTTTTTTTTTTTTTTTTTTTTACCAGATTACCCATTTTGACAACTGAATTTATCCTAGTCTCTAAATAGATTTATAGATAAATGCATTATTACTTTATTTACCCCACGAGGTCCCACTGAAGTTCCCATTATGTGTGTCCCAGGGACGTCCTCAGTTACAGAGAATGTCAAAACAAGGCCTGACCATCGTGACTCAAAGCTGGGTGTGTCCCCAATAAACGTAGCTGATGACATTTGTTCTTAAATTGAACTGAATCTCTACAGATGTGTTTTATGTGGAAAGAACACTCACCCTTATGGCTTAGCTGGGTTAAGACACTTGAGTGCAGAGCTGGGCCTGGGTTTGGCAGACTTCAGTGGGCTGGTGTCCTGCCAAAGAGGAGACTACAACAGGGAGGCAAGTTGAAAACAGACAGAGCGTTGGCTGATTATTTCCTGTGTGTTTGGCAGTGAGAAAATGGCCTTCTTTCTCAAACTCCAACATTTAGCTGAAAAATAAGAAGGTAAAACAAAAATCTCACTTACTCTTATGCAATAGTTTTAGAAATGGGAACAACAATATGGGCTAAAAGTTGTTTAAAATATACCAATGCAAAAGCTACAATTTCACTTTTTTACTACGACTTTAGGCAGGTTTATCAGAAGAAAGGTATTTATGTAAGAGCCGAGGTTGTACGTGCACTCTGGTGTACACAGACAAACAAACAAAAAACTGGAAAACTCTTGTCCGATAGTGAAACAATGCAAGAAAAAAAGGGCTTGAAATATCTAATTCTACGTGTAATTATTCCATTTAAAATAGCTTCACTTCCAGACATGACAATCACAATGTTCTAACACCAAAATATATATTATACAATTGTTATGTCATCTTTTTTTAAAAACATGCAGTTCCATGTCACCAGGACCTCAGTGGTTGTGAAAGAGGTCGTTTCTTGTTAAGCTTGTGGATTTCTCAGGATGACCCCATTGCACTGAACACTTCCAGATGTCTCCTATAGACCTGCAGCTATATCTTTATTGTATGTTCCCTCGGACTTCAGCTGTGACCAAGCAAAGAGAAAGAAAGTTCAAAGCAGAGAAGTTTCACCATATTTCATGATGCTATACATTTATGCATGACTAATTACTTTGAGTGCATCCAGTTGTAACAAGCTACTTCAAGCTACTAAAATTCATTATTAATTCAGGGTATGATATTTTACTTTTTATGGCTATGTTCTGACTTGCTCCTGGTTTGAGATTTACATTTATTAGTTCAAGCACTAGAACATTTGGAATGACATGTTACTACTAATACTACTACGCTACATATTACTACAATTTCCATTTCCATATTAATGTAGTAAACCATATTGTATTTTTCTTGACTTAAAGGTATGAGGTAAAATAGCAGAATTAAAGGTGGGGGTACCTGACTTTAAAACCACACAAACATGCCACTATGCAACTACCTCAGCTTTAATTAAGATTGAGATTTTTATATGAAGTGTATGTACAGTACATTGAGAACAGAGACGTCATCTCTTGAGACATGTAGAAACAAATACGTTCAGTTCTTCAGATAGTAATGTTTAACAGTAGTACATATATAATGGGTTCACAGCACAGAATATGCAGGTCAGATTCCACAACTTAATCAACTCACTCTACAGCTACAATTGGACCAATATAACAACAATAAAAGAACTGCCAGGACATAAATTGATCCCAAAAAGGATTATTCCTTAATGATTGAAAGATATTTGTTAATTTAGTGACAGACAATAGATGTGCCAATCAAAGCTAACCCAAGACTAAATCCCTGTTCAACCTGAGCTAAGCAGGAGATGAACACAATAAAGCTGGCAGTTTGAGAGCGCTGTAGCACCAGTCACATGTGTCCAGTGCATTTGTGTGTATGCTGGGTGATTTGAGTTCATTACAGAGAGGCATGAGACTGTCTGAGGCATGTCTTCACAGGCTGCTCGCTGCTCTGTGAGAAATCAAGCAAAGATAAGGCTCAAGACCATATCGGCTTCAGAGCGTCTCCTGTGGCCCGCAACAGACACATGTGATTCATATTCTAAAATGATAGGCACACAGTAGAAGCGGGAAAAGGATCCACTCCACAATCTACTCTGGTATAAGTAAAAGTACTGAAATCATTCCCTTACTTACTTATACTTATATGTACTTAGATCTTTAAATAAGGGGAAAAAAAGAGGACCAGCCTCACTTAGCCAATCAGCTCTCAGTGTATAAAAGATAAAACGTTATCTAATAAGAGGAAGACAACATGTTTTTGGTCAGATATGTTCACAAAATGTTACTTTAACAAGACTCTTTCTGTTGGGACAAACGCCATATTAAGTTAAGTACATTACACGCAAAGTGAGATAGATCAAGCTTTTATTTGTTATAATGTTGATAATTGGCTCACAGCTTAAAAACCACAAATACATGTATAAAATAAAAACAAGAAAATGTATTGTAAGCCATAATAATCAACATAATAACAACAAAGGCATTTGTCAGTTTTTCGAGTGAAACCTGTATATGATGTATACAGAACTGATACTGATTCTTTCATAAATATAATTAGTTACTCGCCACCTCTGCATAGTGGAGGAAAAAAGAAAGTTTTCGTTTGATCAACTCCTCTCTTGTTTCAAAAAAGGTTACCATACATGTGAATGTTTCAAAAAAGCTAATTATTGTGGTAGAAAGAAATAGGGCACTGTCAGACCTGATAAAACCAATAAATCAGTGTGGGGATGGCCTCTTTGTCGTCTCTCCACACAAGGAGGAGGCCCACAAACAACATGGTGCGATGGGATTTGAAGTGATGTTATCAGGCTGCAGATAGGACGACTCGTAATCACCAAGACGCCACAGATGAGACTTCACTTTCCTGCAAAATCTGTGTTGGTGTTTTCTCAGCCCATCAGCACAATAAATTCTGTCATAACAAGTCTGCTCCGGGAAAGGCACTTCAGAAAAATAACAAGATAGAAGTTGTTATGCTTTAAGAAAGATCAAACTCTGCAATGCTCAAAGTGGAAAAATCCAAACTATTTAAAGAAAATGAAGACAGCTCTAGATGTTTGGAACACTAATCTGAGATCGACCCAGATGAAACTGGTACAAATGTACGTGTACAATGTATATTTCTGTATCATTTTTATGAATTACTTTTTCCAGTACAATTTAAAGGAGCAGTGTGTAAAAATCTGGCCAAAAGTGAGACTGCAACTTCTCCCACTCTCCCTGACTCAGGGTGCCAGATATGCAGACGAATCCAGCTGGAACCATATTATGGTATTAATAGACAAGAGTTTTGTCAACAACAAATCTATAACCAACACCTTTTTCCCGAAGGCCCCGATGGAAATCCTTGTTTTATTCCTTATTTTGTCATTAATGATTTGATGATCATAACAAGACCACACATTTCTAATTGGTAAAACGGTGGAGGGCAGGACATCGAAATAATGTCAAACAAACTATTAAACTATTATTAAGAAAGAGAAAAAGTTAAGTACTCCAGCGCAGCCATGGAGTCTATACAAAGAGCAGATAAGAATTATTTGATTACTAAAAGCCCTAGAAATAATACATCAATACACAAATAAGCCTCACTAATGTTCAACTATCCAAGTTCCCCTCGGTCAAATATACTGTGGTTTTGGTCAAAGTATGACTTTTCTCTCTCTGGAACCTGAGATCATTTCTTCTCTAAACCTTAGTGTCTCAAAACTTAGTCTAATTATTTGGACTGGTCCCATAATACAAACGCCCTGCACAAGAAGGGCCAAAGTCGCCTCTTCGGAGTGGTCCTTCGGAGTGAGCAAGCGTCTGCTCAGGACTTTTTATGAAAGTTTCAAATAAGGCCGCACATCCCTGTAGTTAGAGCTAGCTAGACGTAAAAACAGTGAAAAAAATCCGCACACTATGTAGCTCCCACTATGTAGCTCCCAATAAGTGTATTTTATTTACACACCAAAAACTGTTATGTCTGACGAAGGGCCTCAGCCCGAAACGTAACAGTTTTTGGTGTGTAAATAAAATACACTTATTGGGAGCTACATAGCTGTGCGGATTTTTTTCACTGTTTTTTCAGGACTTTTTATGACTCTGTGGTAGCCTCAGCCATTTACTACGCTGCCGTGTGCTGGGCCCCGGGCAGCACAGAGCGGGACAGAAGCAGACTGAACAAGCTGGTCAGAAGGGCCAGCTCCACTCTGGGCTGCTCCCTGGACTCTGTGGAGGAGGTGAGGGACAGGAGGGTGCTAGCCAAAGCCACCTCCATCATGAACAACACCCACTGCACAGGACTGTAGAGGAGCTGAGGAGCTCCTTCAGTGGAAGACTGAGGCACCCTCAGTGTAGGAAGGAGCGCTACCGCAGGGCCTTTATCCCCACCGCTGTCAGACTGTACAATAAGTCACTTTAAGTCACTGTATAAGACTGAAAAAACCTGCACTAATATTGACACTATTTCTGATTGCCACTTTTAAACTGCCACTTTTTTATGTACATAATATATCCTGCATTTAACATGTTTTCACATTTCCTCCCTTTTTTTTTGCACAATCTGAGTGTTTCTACCTATGCCCAATGTGACATGTAAATTTCTCTCCCTTGTGAGATAAATAAAGAATATCTTATCTTATCTTATTTATGAGACAAGAGTTGGGATAATATTATTGGGTGACAATGAATCCCCAGACAGAGGTCAGGTTTCATATAAACAATAGTGCAAGGAACTATTTTGATTATCCCCCATAACTTTGTGTAGTTCTAAGAAAGAAACAATATGAATCCTTAGCCGCCGGGTGAGAGTTTTGTAACAACATTCTTTTTCGTGAAGAATGAGGGCTCTATACGAAATAAAGGGACGGGTTACAATTGTCTTGGGGAATGGAGAAAGCCAGGGATATCAAATACAACTAAATACGTGACTGCACATTCCAGAACAATCTGATACAAGCCTAGTGACCTGTGTTGGTGCCTGTTGGAGAGCAATGGAAGCAGCTTTACAAGATAAGAGGAACTTTAAATACAGGAATAAGTAAATAGCAACTGGTGAGTTTATGACAGCTGTAAAGGGGCTCTAGTTTAAACTGGACCTGGTTTAAGGGTCCATACTTTCTCCAGACACCAACACCACTTTAATGTTATAATTTCAAGATATAAAACAGTTGGGTTATGGACTATGAAGAAGTGCACATCAGAATTGATTATATAGGGACAGAGATAAACACTGCTTGCTTTGTAATGGGGTGGTCTGAGAAGGTATTTCCCCAGAGGACTCAAGGCCCCATGCTGTTGTAATCACATCTGCTTTCCATCACAAACACAGGAAAAAGTTTATTTTGATGACTCAATGTCTTTCTTTGGGGTCAAAAAGTATTTGGTTAATTATCCATTTATCTGCTTTACGTGCCCCAATTTTTTACATTTTAAAAACACATGTTGGGTAATTATTCTGCACATGTTTTCAAGATTTCATCAAATTGAAAGTTCTTGAAGAATTTATCAAGCAATATGATATGTTTTAAGTATATGTGATCTCTGAAACCGTGTGACCTGCGTACAAAGAAAATGCCAAAGAAAATGAACCACTACTACAACTATATTAATGAAAAATACAGGGCGAAAACAATCAAGTTTAAGTTTTGGAGGAAGTGCACACATCCCAATCTATATTTTTTTGCAATAGATACCAATATACCAAGAAACAGTAATGTATTATAATGACTAATGATTGATTTCTTGAGTTTCAACATTCAACTTTTGTGATGGAACTTAAGGTTTGTGTTTCCCTTGAGCCTACATGACAGAGTAACCAAAGATTGTCTACAGGTTTAGAAACAGAGAACATAGAATTTACAACAGACTTTGAGCCGGGCACATGCTGCAACACTACCAGCCTTGTGCCGAACAATGAGCTTCGTTGTTTCCCTCTATTCTTTGTCATGACTTTTTCTTGCTGTTAGCCACAACACAATTACCATTCAAACACAGATGGGCACAATGAAGACAATGTGGTGTGGCAAAAGACATAGTGTAACATTGGATGGATTGAAATGAAAAGGCAGTGACGTTTTAATCAAGAGTATGAATTCAGTTGTAGTAAAAATATTAGTCTAAATATAATTTGAGGCCTATACACCACTCAAACCAGAAAGGGTTGGAGTTGATTTAACATATGAAGAAAACCGATGACTGCTCCACTGCACTGTAATTACATCCACATTTTCCTAAACACAGCACAAAATGTGGGGAGAATTTCTTTGAATAGTAACAATGTTTTATATCATTGACAAGAATAAAGCAGGATTTCATCATTTCTGTCTGAGAAATAATTTGTTTTATCACTGGACCAGACGTATTGCTGTTATATTGTAGGATGAACTGTACAGCTCAAAGTATGAATGAAAAACTTTAGTTATACCTTGAGTCCTAACAGATCCAGTCATGGTTATGTCACGCTTATATTATTGAAAAGAGCTCTCTCTAGTGGACACGTTTTGAAACGACAACTTAAAAGTTAATGGAAGAATGCTACTTCCTCAGTATCGAAGACCATACGATATTAAAACTGATTGTTAACCTGATAATTTTCTGTTTATATGATATTTTACCTATTTATATTCAAGCTTGGTAGTTTTTTATATGAACCATGGTTGAATTATCTACAGTTGTTAATATTAAGGAAGTCTGGGCATTTTTATTGAGACTGCTGCCTTGGATTAAGCAAAAATAAAACTGATGTATTTCTTACTATTTTTGTCCTTGATAATGGCACTAACATTATTCTGATTTTGAGAACAAGCTTCTGAGATATCATAATATTGTGTGGCAAACTTACAGCGAACAACACGTGAACTCAGTAGAGACTTTTTATTTCTTTAAAACATGGTGTAAAAATGCTTTAACAACACAGAAGAAAATCTCACGTATAAAGACATAAATAAATGTGCAAATAAACATAAATAACTATACAAAAACTGTCTTTGAATTTCCAGAATTCTGTGTCTGGCTAATTTCAATACAACATAAAAAAACAAAAAAACAATTGAATACGCCTTGTTCAACAGTTCAGGATGGAGTTTGCTCTGAGGATGCGGATGACTTTCCTGGAGTTGTAACTGTATTCATATCGGATGTTATCGTGGAAGAAGTACAAGTAACCTGAAATGAAAAGTTAAACGTTAGCCAATTCCCGTTTCTTGGGGCAGATTTAAAACACAAAAAAAAGAGGCAAAATGGTAGTGTACCATAATGATAAGCAGCGGCATCCACTTCGTCGCTCATTCCTGGGAAATCGGTCTCTATGGAGCGTGGGTAGCCCTTGTCCATGCTGCCTGAGGCTTCGTCAAAACTGTGGATAATAGAAAAGCCATTAGAAAAAGAAGGTTTATGAATGAAACGCAGGACAAGTTTAGAGTTTGTGATTTAAGGCAACATGCCGAAGGGAACTTTTGAGAGCTTTCGAAAATGTGACATTATTCCCCCATCAAAACAGACCTGGAGGTGTTTTTTAGATTCACCCACGCTAATATCAAGAATTTGTAGAAGAAACATGTAATTCCACCCCTTCTGTCTAAACCTCTTGTCTCAGTCCTGTCATAGTATGATGTTATTGCAAAATTACAAGCAGTTGTAGCCTATGAAAAAGTATTGTCCCTAAGTTAGGTTTAGTAATTGCTAATGTAAAATTCTATTCTTTAGAATCGTGTGACTCTGTTTTTTTTTCAATCATACATGTTTCACTATATATTTTCCACTGAAGAATGATTTGAAATAGTTTAATCTTTAATGGCAAACAAATTCATAGTATATAGTAAAAAAAAATATACACAATAAAACTATATCATGAAATCTACTACGTTTCAGATATGTGTATTATAAAGAGCATAAATGCACAATTGTGTTTCTATTACCTCCAGTATTGTTCCTCGGTGAAGAATAGAGTCTTTCCGGTGTCTCCGATGTGCACCGCTGCGTCAATTTTCCGGATGGATTTTGGCATCCCCAGTTTGTGGATGTATTTGGGGTAACCATCCAGAAGAGTATAACCATTCAAAGCCCACATCTTAATCCCTGTCAAAAGATAACATCATATAATTGTCTGACTAATATCTTGTAAATATCAAATCAAAAACAAAGAAATGTTATAATAAATACAACTCACCACTAAAGATGAAAACCAGGTCCTTCTCTGGGTTCTCGTAGGCAGCGTCCACTTTCTTGGGCAGCGAGGGCCACGTGCTCTTGATCAGAGTTTGTTCAGGCTCAACATACTGGGGGTGGATTCGCCAATAAAATCTAAACACATGACAAATAATATATATTAATGACAGCGTTAGGGAGACCTTACTTTCAAAACACACAAAAAATTAACTATAATTAAATCTATTCTACTTGTTCCTGGCTCTTAAAACACCTAATCACTAGTTTTCACACTTTCACTATTATCGTATTAAACAATCTGCGTCAAATTACCCTTTTGGTAAAGCACCGCAAGGCTCCAATATTGAACAAATCACAGTTGGATTGTATTATTAAAAAGTGAGTAAGCCCAATCATCACTGCAGCATACTATACACACAGATTTGTAGTTCTGTAGCACTCGCCAAGGATGCAAAAATATCTCCTTCCTCGTAAATTTAAATTGACCTTTTTATGAGATTGGAGTTTCCGAAACACCTTTTAAAAATGTTTTCACTGCCACTTACAGTATGTACAAAGGTTAATCAAAATGAGAAGGAAGGGCAAGATAAGATTTTTCTTTTTCTGAATTTGGATCTAAGAATTGATCATACCTGTCTTTGAAAATGATGGTTTCTCCTCTCAATTCAGTGACAGCATCAAAACTCAGATCTGGGTCACATTTCTCGGGTGCATCAGGCTTTGGCTTCACCTTTTTGTGGTCCGGGTTTGGTCCTGTGTGACAATGAAAGTACAGAGCTCTTGTGACAATCAGTTCAAAGCAGGGTTGTAACCCAAAGACATCCTTGGTTGACTAAAGACACAGTCAGTAAGTAAGTAAAAAGGGGAATGGCAAAAACTATGTATTATGTATCTGGCCTAAACTACAAGACTAAGTTTTAAATAAAACATAAAAAAATATAAATTGAAAAGAATATTTTTTAATCATGTGGGATCTGAGTGCTGGATGTGGCTTGACTATCAAAGCAAACACCAAAATACAAACATGTACCAACTTGTATTAAATCATTTTGGGGCTAAATGTTGTCTGAACACAGAATAGGGATTAGATTTTTACTACTTTCTATGTAATACTTCATTATGCTGTTTAGTTGTTTCACGCCAGGCCTGGGTCAGTTGTGGTGCAATACACCATGAAATATTATCGTTTATCAAAACATAATAAAGATATTTATCTTCGTAGCAATGCATGATCAATAAAACACTGTTTTTAGTAATCATCATATTGTCCTGTAGAGTAATTACCATAGAGGTCTTGAATGCCCTCAATGTCGTCTTCAGCGAGGGGGTATCCAGTTCCATAGGCGTAAATAGGGTACATGAGGGCTCCAGGGTCGGACGAGTGAGACATCCCGAGAGCATGACCCAACTCATGAGCGGCCACTATATAGAGGTTGTAAGCTGCACAAGAAAAGCAGTTCACAACACAATTAACTTTCAATTTTGAACCATGAAAGCTGGCATAACACTTTTTTTCAGCATGAAGCATTTTGTAAAGGCATTTGTTTTTGAACAAAACAGAGCACAACTCGGTTTCATCTAATACATTTCTCTTGATCTATTTTGCATTCTTGTAAGACAGAGCCCTGTGAGCTGATTTTCTGTCAGAAAAGCTGAGCTAAAGATAATTGGAGGCCAAACATTACATGAAAAGTGTCACTCTCTCTTCACAATTTGATAAGAAACAGACATTCACTTTAAAAAAATGTTACTTTTTGTCCATCTTTGTAATAATAATTGTGTGTATAGAAATGCCAGTGTTTTTCAACCAGTGGGCCGTGGCACACTCGTGTGACTTTAGATATTGTTTGCTGTAATAATCCAATATCACCTAATTGGTCAAAGTAATGTGAGAAGAAAATAATATGAGAAGATTAGAAAGTTATTTGCGCTTGTTTGATTTTCTATATAATACATTTTGATGAGATTAACTTTGTATGATTAATAAAAAAATGCAAAGTTTCCTTTTGTTATCAGTCTCAGCTGGTGGAGTGCCATGTGACTGTTTTCAATAAAAATGGTGGGCCACTGCTCGAAAAGGTTGGGGAACACTGCTGTAGTCAACCTGATGTACAGATAACAGCCTGTCTGAAAAACGGTTATCTCACCATTTGAGTCTTTTGTCCAGAGCTCGTCTTCATCAAAGTGTGTGTCTCCCCCGATGCCTGGTCCGGGAGGGTAGGCGTGGGCCAGGAGCCCATTGGGCCCGTCGAAAGGATTGTAGTCTCCGTGTTCTGCAGACAACCGAAAGATTATGTGTCATTACAATGTCTATTCAAGCCGTATCATTATTCCCCTGGACACGACACCAGCGTGTAAACTGCATTTTAAAAGCTCAGTACCAGGCGTAAAACAACAAGAAAATTAGACCTTTGCTGCCGAAGCTGATCATGATGTCCGCAATGCCCTGGGACATCTTCTTGAAGGTCAGAGGGGTGACGTCAGCCCAAACGTTTAGGGCTTTACGAATGGCTCTATCCACATCTGCCTTTTGTAGGTCAGGGGTATAGTTTACAATCCTATAACCACCAGTAAAATCATGTATTAATTCAAAACCATAAAATAATGTATTAATGTGATTATTTTTTTATCATTTTGATACCTGAATGTAATGTTGTGAGTTTGCCATTTCAGTTTTCGAGGGAAGTGGTTGTACTCGCCAACATCTGGCACCCCACATCTCGGCTGACGCATCAGGTCCAGTGTGTTTTCGTCCAGATTCCCTGTAACCTGAGTAATATCACATTGTTATGTACAGTATGTGAGTTTTTTCACCCAATAAGTTTTTGTAATCTTGTTTTATGTGTGAACCAAAAATGTGGCATTGTTTTGAATAATTATTGTCACCTTAGGCTTAGACAAATCAAATGCAATCTTAGTGAGCCTTACTTGAAGTTGGAAAAATTCTTGCATCTCTTTGATTTTGTCTTGAAATGCGTCCAGTGAGCCCTTCCTTCCCTTGAGTCCAGCTGGGAGTCCATACAATCGGTTTAGATATCTCTATTCAGAAAAAAACCACACGTTACATTTGAATACATCCATGTTGAATTTGAGAGAATTGTAGATATTTCTCACCTCTGCTAGACGCATGTTGTCCGGGTTTTCATGAGGCAGAGGTCCAGCTGAACAGTGAGACAACATCCCCAGCAGCAGCAGCAGCAGCAGTGGTGGAGGTGGTGGTAAGCCTGTCATTGTTGCTAGTGTCTTGTCAAAAACACTCATTGGGGATAAGTGTGTCTGAGTGGTATTTATACTGCTTAAGCTGACCCTCTTTTTCTCAGTCATTCTTTGTGATTCATGTGAAAGCACCTAATGTGGCCACTTCCTCCTCCCAGGGGCCAAAAATGTGCTTATATGAAAAAAGACAAGCGCCTGGACTGGCCTGCCTTGAACCGAAACGAGCAGTAATGACAAGATATATTCCTGATGGGCCTGAATGTTCAATACTAAGGAAAAGGCAAATAGAAACCTGCTGTATATGATGCATTGACACTTTGATCACCACTCAATGTCTAATTTCTTGCAGGTTAAAACAGTGTTTCTGTTTCTGTAAAGCCGCAGGACATGCTGAATCAATGAAAATGTTCCATTTCTGGGTTTTCCCTCCTTTGGCTTGTACAACGTGACTCAGTGCTGTCAAGTCTAGTCAAATATTTACTTTTCATCTGTCCAAAGCGCAACAAGGACAAAACTGAAATTCCGTTTATACTGGCAAGGCAAGTTTATTTGTATAGCACAATTCATACACAAGGCAAGTCAAAGTGCTGAACAAAACAAGAAAGCATTAGAATCATAAATAATCACAGAACATTAAAAAGAAAGATGAAAATATAAAATCCCTCAGTTGTATGCACAGCTAAACAGAACTGTCTTTAACCTGGTTTTAAACATTGTCATTGAGGAGGCCTGTCTCACATTATCAGGAAGATTGTTCCAGATTATAGCAGCATGAATCTGAAATGCAGCCTCCCCATGTTTAGTTCTGACTCTGGGCACTAACAGGAGTCCAGTCCCTGTGCTCCTCAGAGTCCGGGCTGGTTCATATGGGACTAACATGTCACTAATGTATTTTGGTGCGAGGCCATGGAGAGACTTGTACAAAAGCAGAGCTGTTTTAAAGTCTATTCATATACAGTGCCTTTCAACATTTCGCCCCATTTAGGGCTTCAAACATAAAGATATAAAAAAATATTTTTTGTCATGAATCAACAACAAGTGGGACACAATCGTGAAGTGGAACAAAATTTATTGAATCATTTAAATTTTTTTAACAAATAAAAAACTGAAAAGTGGGGCATGCAATATTATTCGGCCCCTTTACTTTCAGTGCAGCAAACTCACTCCAGAAGTTCAGTGAGGATCTTTGAATGATCCAATGTTGTCCTAAATGACTGATGATGATAAATAGAATGCACCTGTGTGTAATCAAGTCTCCGTATAAATGCACCTGCTCTTTGATAGTCTCAGGGTTCTGTTTAAAGCGCAAAGAGAACCATGAAGACAAAGGAACACACCAGGCAGGTCCGAGATACTGTTGTGGAGAAGTTTAAAGCCGGATTTGGATACAAAAAGATTTCCCAAGCTTTAAACATCTCAAGGAGCACTGTGCAAGCAATTATATTGAAATGGAAGGAGTACCAGACCACTGAAAATCTACCAAGACCCGGCCGTCCCTCCAAACTTTCATTTCAAACAAGGAGAAGACTGATCAGAGATTCAGCCAAGAGGCCCATGATCACTCTGGATGAACTGCAGATAACTACAGCTGAGGTGGGAGAGTCTGTCCATAGGACAACAATCAGTCGTGCACTGCACAAATCTGGCCTTTATGGAAGAGTGGCAAGAAGAAAGCCATTTCTCAAAGATATCCATAAAAAGTCTCGTTTAAAGTTTGCCACAAGCCACCTGGGAGACACACCAAACATGTGGAAGAAGGTGCTCTGGTCAGATGAAACCAAAATCAAACTTTTTGGCCACAATGCAAAACGATATGTTTGGCGTAAAAGCAACACAGCTCATCACCCTGAACACACCATCCCTACTGTCAAACATGGTGGTGGCAGCATCATGGTTTGGGCCTGCTTTTCTTCAGCAGGGACAGGGAAGATGGCAAAAATTTATGGAAAGATGGATAGAGCCAAATACAGCCGAATTCTTTCGCAAGCCACTGTATTAGACATATTAAGTCATATGTAATTTTACATACAGTAAGCCTGATGCTTTGACGCTTCAGTGCACATAAGCATCATCAATGATACACACTTACAGACACTACATATGAAACCTAATGATGACTTAGCTATTTCACAATTTCAATTCCCTGAAACTGCTCGACCGGATACATTTTTAAAGCCCATATGCCTGGACTACTCACCTGGTGGGGCAGTGGTTAGCACTTGTGCTTCATAGGAAGAAATCCCTGGGTTTAATTCCGTCCCGACCAATCAAGGTCTCTCTGGTTTCCTCCAGGTGCTCCGGTTCCCGCAACCACTACAAACATGTACAATAGTTCAGGGTGACTGTGGAACTGGTGTGTTTACAGCTCTACTGTTCGTTCCACACTGTCCCTAAAATAAATAAACTACTTTAAGCAAACGTGGAACGGTTTTGTCCAACTTTGGAGTTTAGTTTCATTTTTAAAAAATATGTAATTACTGCTCTGTTAGAGTCTTCATAACGACTCTAATGTTTGACAATTATTGAAAAAAACTCAATTCGCTTTGACTAATCGCTATTATTATTAGATAACAGCCTACCCATTGAAGACCCAGAGGAAATTTTACCATGATTTTAGTTTGATTTGATTTATTTAAATTTGGTTTAATAGTCATTGTCTTTGCAAAATGTGTTACATGAGGAGGCCTCGCACAAACATACAATCCATAGCTCAAATACTTGGAGTCTACGTGTGATACATATTCTATGTTATTATACATAAATGTTGTTGAATCTTTTGGAACAACAGGTACAGAACAGGTCAGGACATGCTGCCGTTTACGTCTCTGAACACTCTCAAGGATAATATCATAATTATTTTGGTCTTGACCACTGTTCTGTAAATGGGTTCGTAGTATTTCCTGGATCAGAATGTTTACAATTATTTTGGGCACGCAGCACTGGACTAGACCTCGAGAATGCGAATGATTTGACAGGATGGTCACGATTCCTGTTATCATGACCTGGGATTTTTCTGGTAATGACAGTGTTTTGGTCAGTGGTCGAGGTAGAGCCACAAGACAAAAATATGCTTATTGTCACCAATAAATAGGTGCAATTCTGAAGCAACATTGCAACTTATATGTACTATAAATATACAAATAATATAAATACTATTCAAATGTGTAAACACAAGTGGGATTAGTAAAAAATGGTGCTTAGTTGACAACTAGTTTAAAGACTGAGAATTTATGTATGTATTTTGACATGTATTTTGGCAGTGGAAACCAAAATACATGGGATGTTGATGGGAGCAATATGATAGAACATTTGGTTGTGAAGTGTCCACCATTACCAGAAACAGAACTTTAGTTTCATCGAAAAAATAAGCACGTAATTAATGAATTAATCAATGCCAGGTCATTTTTTTTGAGTGACTCGTATTATAGGTGGTAACAAATCCCATCCCCATTTTCTACATATATTTTTTATAAATATGAAGAGGAGTTAAGCTGCTGTCTGGCTCATGGTCGCCATAGTTCCATGACAGACACTGATGGAGTTGAAACTCACCCAGACATAGAGAGAAATATATAAACCTCCCACAGAAAGGTGACACTGTGACCTTATTGATGTGAGGTATCTGATGGTGGTGTTTTATCAAGAGGATGACAAACAGCTGTTGTTATGCATTATTACTGTGTGAACGCAGTAAAGTTCCCCATTCAATCTTATTCATAAAGGTTAATGTCCAGAGCATTCATAGTTTGTTGAGCTGTGACGCTCTCCACAAAGCTCCTGACTCACTGCAGGGGAAGTTCGCTCTTGGGGAAAATGTTACTGTTTACTTTAGACAACGTTGGTCAGACAAATATACATATTTGGAAACACGAGGTTCATTGAGTTAGGTGATATCACATTTGAGGGCATTCAAGCCTCTTGCATCAATAGTAAATAAAGTACCACAGTAACATCAACAGAAAGATGAAACACTTCCTCTTTGAATCTGAGTCAAGTGCACTTACAAACCGCTTGAGCTCATCTTCTTATTTACATTTCTGGAAATGATTAATTAAAAATATCTACATTTTCTTGTTCTGTAGTTGTAACCGTTTTTTTTCCTGGTCATTATGTGAAGGCTGCAGAGTTGTAGTACCGCCACTAGAGGTCAGCAAAGCATATTCATCGGTTGAATGTCAAAGACAACATTTCAAAAAAGTATTTTGAAACGCATCCCACTACATGGTCCAATCAGAGTTCTGCATTTTGAATAGTTCACACATTTACATAAATACAGCATAGTATTTTTTTCTTTGCCATGATCATTAATTTAACTTTAATAAAATGAATCAACCTATTTTGCATACCATCCCAAAGTTAATGTTTCTGAATATAGAAAACAGTTAAAAGGAAATATATCTACTACTGCTTTAATGATGAAGACTTGTTTTGTTGGACATTCAAAAATAAAATGTTTTGTTAATTCACTTTTGTGGAGGTGTTTTGGACTCGTTATGATAGTTGTATGAACTTGGACTGAAATCTTTATTGAGCACTGAGCACACAGAACTATTTGCGAAACTTGTTTTACTCAGAGCTGTTTCCATGGGGCGCCGCAATGCATTGAACTGGACTCATTCACCAATTAACATATTTTGTTTCATGCAAAAACTCTTACAGATGCAGTCATCACCTAAAATGACTTCAATACTAAAGCTAAGAGACAAATGAAAAAACTTCTGGTCCAGAGGAGTAAGGCCCAATGATGTCTAATTGCTGCCTCTCTCCACCACACGTCCTGGAAAGCTGCCATTTTCTTTTTGGGGAAGGTCTTAAAATCCACCTCTGCAATTTGGCTCCCTCTTAACAAACTCTCATAGAAGTCTCTAACATGCAAAAGCTAAAGAAGGACCAGACTGAACTTTGAGGGCGTTATTTTGAGAGATTGCAGAATGCGTGGGACGTGGCCAAAGTGTGTCGCAAGATGGAAGCTACCTCAGGAAAACTTCAGATGACAAAACAATGTCATCATATATGCACAGGTGGATATGGGGATAATGCGCTTGTGTCTTGCCTCATGTTTGGGTTTCATCATGTACACATGTTATACAGTATTAGTGTTTAACTTAACCGCATTGTTAAGTTTTGAGTGAATCCCCTCTGAGTCAGTGTCTTTGGTTTTAATCATTGTCACAATTGTTAATAATAATAATAACGCGTTGGATTAATATAGATGCAGACACTTCACATTCATTATTCATTCACTCCATACACGGTGGTGATAAACTACTACTGTAGCCACAGCTGCCCTGGGGCACACAGACAGAAGCGAGGCAACCAGTATGACACTTGGCTCTTCTGACTACCACCAAACATTCACGCACAAACCAGGGTCTCATATTTCATATAAATATAAAGCTCAGGTTGAACTGATAATCCGATCCCGTGTCGGCCTGCTTCTTTCTGTGTGTTTCTCTTTGTGTCTGTGGGGGTTACCTCTGGGCTCTCCAGTTTCCTCTACCATTAAAAACATGCTCATAGGTAAAATCCTCCATCTCCATTAGTCCTGACCAAACCGAACATCAACATCTGGAGAAGTGTTCCCAAGCGCTGCACTGTGATGACCACTGCTCCTGACTGGTTGGCGAGTGGCATTGAGGGACGGGTCAAATGCAGAGGACAATAAAGTCCCGACAAATTGGTTAATGCGCCATGTACCAAAATTCTCAGATGTACAGGCAACTTTATAATTTTGTTAAGTGATTGAAACTGGAAAGTTAAAGTTTTGTTTTTGTTCTTTTTTCTTCAGTATGCAATCAATTTTTTTTTACTGCAAATGGCAAATAAATGAATCTGAAATTGCATACTGCGTCAATCAAGTCTTGCTATGTCATCCAAACTTAACTGAACATGGCCAAAAGGCTGACCATGCATCTCCAAATTTACTCCGTCTTTGTCTAGTATCTTACAAATGTTGTTTTGGGCTCTCCGCAGTTGTCAACTAACCCCTCCCTAATTCCAGGCCACTGTTGGAGGCTTTCCTTGGATTTGGCTGTGACTCACAATGGCCATTTAAAAAGGGCTTCCTCATTAACCTTAGCTGCTTGCCTTCATGTTCGCCAGACAAGCCATTGAAATTCATGTAGCTCAAAAACCTTATATTTAGCCATGCTGTACCACTGTCTTGTCCTTCTGCTCTTGCCCTGTCCAGCTTTAATGGCACCCACACTTTTGCCCGAAATGCCGACTTCTCCATCCACTGAACCACAGCTGTCTGACGTGGAGCTGGCCACAGTAAGTGTCTACTGCAATTACATGACTTGCACTAAATGTAACAGACAAGACGAGCATGTGACTTATTAAACATCTTTACAGTGAGTTTTTGAGCCGAGGGAAGGCTAAATTGAGCAAATCTGAAGCCATCTGCACGAGGGATTTTTGTATATATTTTGCGGATTTTGTGTGGGTGGGGGGCGGAGGTAAGTACATCCACTGCCCTCTCTGCTTGAATGCTTTTGTTGTAAGACATGTCATTACTTGTACCAACACATGTTAATCAAATTGACATAGACAGAGTTAGTAGTTGTTATGTAGTTTTGGTATTACTACAAATATTTGATCATATTATTTGATAATAATAGTAGTATTATGTAATATGTGCAACCATTACAAAAACTGCAACTAAAATCATTACTGACTACATTATGTTTACAATGTTGGTACAATTATAATATTTGTTACTAATTGTAAAGTTTAAGTATTATAGGTACTAACTAAGGAACACTTATAACTACCCTAGTGTTACCCTTGGGTCAAATTGACCCGCCACAGTAATTCAAAAATACCCTAAATAATCTTTTTCAATATGAATTTGGTGACTTCTCACAACTTGACCAGCCCTGGATCATTTAGACCCTATTTAGGTTTTTTTTTCTTCTACATTTAATCTTCTGTAGTGGTTCATTTTGACCCAAGGGTAGTAGAAGCTGGAGTATCAAAGTTTTTTGTTTGTCCCAACTGAAAAAAATGCATTTTGTGAACAAATCAGATCACAACATTTTACTAGTTTATTAGAAAAAACTTGTATATTTAACTTAATGAAGATGGCCAAAAATACATGAATATTAAAACTAGTTTTGAGAGCTATAGGAAGTAGTTACATGGATTTTATCACAGCTCCAGGTTTAAGCGGTTACATAGTTGTATTTCTTCCCCTTCTCTTTTACACACATTAGATGCCATGGCTGTCAAAGTATCATCAGGTGTGTACTGTGCTTGTAGGAATACCTCCAGCACTTCTACAATCTGAAAGAGGAGTCTTCAGGACGCGGGAAGAGAAGCGATTCGGCTTTTACCGCAAAAGTGAAGGACATGCAGATTTTCTTTGGCCTTAATGTGACCGGTTCATTAGATTCAAACACTCTGGATATTATGAAAATTGCTCGCTGTGGGGTCCCAGATGTGGAGGACTACAGCCTAACCAAGAGCGCACGGTGGAACAAGAACCAACTCACATACAAGTAGGTCAAAGATATGGTAATGCAAAATATCCATGATTTGTCTGCGCCTGTTTGACCTTGAATGAATGTGGAGAGAAAATATAGCTGTTCAGAAAGAAAGTTTAAGTAAGAGGCAATAAAACTTTTGGCAGTGATTGTCACAGTTATAAGCAGATTGTTCAGTTTAGGAATCCTGCCTCTGAAAGACATTATGGTTAGTTTAAGTGCCAAGTTTTACCAAACCAAGTCTGAACTTATGTAACACTGTCTGCTACAGTCTCACGCAGTTTCTGTAGTTAGACGCAGTAGCTCATGCAGTTGGTGTCCAGCTTTTATAACAGGCCAATATTCTTTGAATTAGTGAATCTATATTTGTGTTAATTTGTAGCAATTTGTACAATCTATATATAGGTTAATGGTAATCTAATCTAGGTTCATTCTGGACGCGTCTCCTCTATCAAAAATCAATCCAATTAGACAAATGTGGTGAAACTATCAGTCCATCGATTCGGCAGAGCAGCCCACCGTGCTAACTAGTCTTTGATGAGGTGGAATCATGAATCAAAAACATGGCCTTTGTCATCGTGTGAATGTGCAATAGAATAGAATAAAATACATTATAATTATTTTCTGTCACAGAAAACATCTGGCAAATTTAAAGATTACAATAAATACACTCTGTAAAGGTTGTAAACCATTGATTGAGTGTTCTTTAGAGTTTTAAAATAAAATATATTTATATCTAGGCTTATTCATTTACCACTGTCAACAGACATTTTTTATTGTTATTTGTTTTATTATTTATCATAATAATATTTTTTTCATCTGCTCAGGCAAACACACCGCTACACATGCACACGGACACACACACACACACACACGTTCTTTGTCTCTGTATAATTGGATGTTTGCCCTTGTTTTGTATATTTGCATTTTCACAAAGGCTCAAACTCACTTTTAAAAATGAATCACTCTTGATAAAGGAGGTGGATTAGAACTTGCATTACATATGAATACAAGAATTAATGGAATTGAAATGAATATGTATGACACTTTACTCACCGCAGCATTGGCCGCTACACCAGTGACCTCCCACGCAGCACTGTGGACTCTCTCATCGACTCGGCCTTCAGCGCCTGGTCCAGAGTCAGCAGTCTGCAGTTCACCCGGTCCCACAGTCACAATGCAGACATCATGATGGAGTTCGCAACACAAGGTGAGTCCAAGAAGCCTCCTGAAGCACAAAGACAAAAGCCACAAAGGCCACCAGTGAACCAGAAGTGAAATTACGCAGCAACTATTTGATACACAAATGAAGAGTGGATTTGCAAAAGGTTCCATTAGAAAATTATGGGAAAGGCTTTACAATTTGCTCTTTACCAAGCAATTTTTGAGGAGCCAGATATATTTTAAAACTAGAAAAGTGTCACCCGTTCTTAAGCATCTCTTCTAACATTTCCTGCCAATGACAATATGCTTTTAAGATTTTAACAAGAGGAATACAATGTTTGCACCTTCAAAAAAAGTCTTTAAATGGACAAATTAAGTTAAAAAAAAAAGAAAATTCAAATCAGTAGTTGAACTTCTGATCTGCTTATGGACTTGTACAAAGTAAAAATCCCATTCAGAGACAGAAGTGGTGCATAATAGTGATGATACATTTCCACAACAGCTTTTCCCTCGTAAGAAAAATAATAATATTGGTTTAGTTTGGTTTTGCCATCATACTGAGAACCATGGATTAGTAACAATAGCAGCAAAATAAAATCAAGCAAATGTAACTGTACACTTAGGAATAAGATGCTATTATCACCGCAGACAGCTAAATACGACAGCCTGAGTGCAGCAAGATGAGGAGAAGTCTATAATTTGTTTTTTTTGGCAAGAATAAAGATGGTTTTGCTTGTGGTTTGTGTTTCATGTTTTGCCTGGGTTTCTCTACCGTGAAGCACATGGAGATCTGTACCCTTTCGACGGACCGCGCGGGACCTTGGCTCACGCCTTTGGCCCCGGTCCTGGAATCGGCGGAGACACTCATTTTGATGACAGTGAGCAGTGGACTTCTGGATCGAGGGGTAACATAATGTACTTTTTCTTAAAATATGCTGAACATAATTTATTTAGGGTAAAGCTTGTATTGCTTGTAAGTATTTTTCTTGACTTGAGTAAAATGGTGATGAAGCATTCAAACTTAAAACATGGTTGTATACGCTCATAAAGGTAGATTTAGATTGTGTCCATTATCATTGTCTCATTGTTGTTGCATTTTTGTTGCAGGCTTTAATCTACAGGTAGTGGCTGCACATGAGATTGGCCACGCATTAGGTCTGAGGCACTCGCGAAACCCGGATGCTCTCATGTATCCAAACTACAGGCCGTCCCGGCCCGCCAACCTGCTGTCTATGGAAGATGTGGCTAATATCAACGCACTTTACAGTAAATGACTTCTTTCAACCTGAAAGCACGTTTATCAAATAAGGCAAATTGCATTGCACTTTTTGAGTGGAGGATTTGTCACCTGCTCTGTGGAATATGCTTGGAATGCACTTGTCTCGCGAGACAGTCTTCCCTTATTTATGTTTGAATGAGCTATGATTAATCTAGCTCTATGCCATCTGGGACCAGACAATAGAAAACAGCTGACAATCCTTAAGATTTGGGAGCATCAACTCACATTTTTTAACATGTGTATCTCTATACGGCATCTCCACATATCCTGCAGAATACAGAACAGAATCTGTTGTGTTGGTCAGATCAATACAGTGGAGCAATCAAAGAAAAGCTGTTACATCTCCAGTGACACAAGCTCAACAGTATACCTTTAATGCAAGCCTGTGCTGTTTTTTTCCAGGCTCAGTCCAGTTCCCCATATTCTTGTTCCCCTGGCTGTTCCCTCGTCTCATGCACGACAGGTGTGCTCCGGACATGAGCTTTGATGCAGTGTCCACTGTTGGAGATGCCACCTTCTTCTTTAGAGGACAGTGAGTTTCTGCAAACAATCAATAATACAGGAAAATTAAGAGGAAAATGATCAAACATTTTCAACACATTTATCTACTTCTTCTACTACAGATAAACTGCATTGCAAAATCCTTAATGTGGGAATTTAGAAAAAAAACTTTGGTTTTCCTCACAGGTATCTTTGGATCAAACACAACGCTGAGTCCGACATCAAAGAAGGGCCGATCTCAAACTTCATGCCAAAGATCGAGACTAGCATTGATGCCGCTTATAGGATTCCTCGCAAAAACACAGCCTTCCTCTTCCATGGTAACAGAAACAGTAAAGTTTTCTTGATTATTATTTATCTGAGCCAACACTGACACAACAACACCTCGCAGAGAGCATGTTCTGGACCGTGAAGGGTTCCACAGTGCGTGGGAAGCCCAGATCCCTCAGCCACTTTGGGTTTCCGGTTTGGGTGCAGGAGGTGGATGCAGCCGTGCACATCGTGAAAACAGGACGCACACTCTTCTTTCTGCATGATATTTACTGGAGGTATGATCACAAACAATAGCTTTGTTATTCTCCAGAGCTGATGCTGAGAATCAGTGCTGGTATTGCCAAGTGCGTCACAATACATGATGTATCGAATTATGCTTTTTCTCTTTCTACATGGACATCCAATGCAATGTGTAATAGACTTCATATTGTCCTTAATGGATGCATTTCAGAATACAAGTTAGTCTGATTAAATACTGCGAGATGCAGTAGGTGAGAATCAACTGACCGCAGGAAATTGGCACAAAATATAAAATCATCATATGTTGCTCAAGCATGCACATTTCTTGGGTTCAGAAACATGTCTCATTAAAATACTTTTTTAATTGAGAAGGCTGCCAGCACTTAAACACATGAGCTGTGATTAAACACAATTATATTCAGCACCTATATTGCTCCTTTATTTTTGTGTATAGCCAACATTCATCATATTATACATTATACCAAAATATACATTTACCGTCTGGCCGACACAGAGAATACATACCAAATACATGACATGTCTTTTCCAGTTATAATGAGAACAAGCGAGTGATGGATCGTGGCTTTCCTAAATACATCTATGAGGACTTCCCAGGACTGAACAATACAGAAACGATAAACGCAGCATTTCACAAAGAGGGTGAGTCTTCTGATTTACCAATTCACATTTTCATTTCTGCCACTCTTATCTAGAAATGCCTAACGTAAAGGCAACAACCTGTGCTTATATGCTAGGCACATATTCAGTAATTGTGTTAAGGCAGTAAACCTGCGTCTGTAGCTCACGGGGATTGTAAGGTTGCAGAGCTAATTTCAGAGGAATGCCGTTCACATCAGCTGAGCGTGTGGTTCCCCTTTGCACTGTAACAGTGTAATTGTGACTCATTTTAATTGTTTAAACATCTCAAATCATATGCTAGGATTTCGACTATATACTTAAAGTTAACATACATTATTATCCACATCATCACGACCACAAATGACAAACAGAAATATGTAAATCTAGAGAGGAATCTGGGATAATTCCTCTCAAAGGTAGTCTTTAAGGAGTTCATTAAAGGGGCATTTTTCACAGTAGAGCAATAAACTTGTTTTGCCCAAAATTACCTTGAAAAATAGTTTCCTCTTTTCTGATCTGAGATGACCTGCTGGCACCATCTTACTATCTACCAAGGAGATGGAGTGGCACTCAACAGTGTTCCTTTGGCTCTAATGTTCACAGTTTTGACATAAAGAATCAATGTCTCTGAAAAATGGAGAAAGGGCAGGCTCCATTTGTGGCACCGGCACCTGCCACAGCTGATCAGTGGCATGTACACAACAAATGGCGTTTAAAGCGGCATGTGGACAACAATGCCGTTTTAAACGCCATTTGTTGTCCACATGCCGCTTTAAACTGCAATTGTTGTCCACATGCAGTTTTAAAAGCCATTTGTTGTCCACATGCCGCTTTAAACACCAATTGTAACCCACATGCCGTTTTAAACGCCATTTGTTGCCCTCACGCCGTTTTAAATGCCATATATTGTCCACATGCCGTTTTAAATGCCATTTGTTGTCCACATACCGTTTTAAACGCCAATTGTTGTCCAAGTGCCGTTTTAAACGCCAATTGTTGCCCACATGCCGTTTTAAACGCCAATTGTTGCCCACATGCCGTTTTAAACGCCATTTGTTGTCCACATACCGTTTTAAACGCCAATTGTTGCCCACATGCCGTTTTAAACGCCAATTGTTGCCCACATGCCGTTTTAAACGCCAATTGTTGCCCACATGCCGTTTTATACGCCATTTGTTGTGTACATGCCACTGATCAGCTGTGGCAGGTGCCGGTGCCACAAATGGAGCCTGCCCTTACTGGAAAAATGTGGCAAAGTATAGTTTTAAGTAATGTGTCACCATATTGGTAATAACAAACTAAATATCTTCAAAGGAATTATGACTGATTTATGGAAATGAGACTATTAGACCTACCATCCAAGACTCTGTTTATCTCTCGAGAAATAGTCAATTTGATGGTTCAAAAATAAAGGTTTAAGGACACATATTATGCGATTTAGAATTAATTTTTTAACATAGTAATAGTGTTTTTCATCGAAAACATACTTGGAACATATCAGTAACTAATATCAACTCAACGTCCTTCCACTACACTATGATAAATCCATATGACGAATTAGAGGCTGCGCTTTCTGCCTTTTAAAACCTTCAAATTGAATTCTTTGTAACTATTCACAATTTGTCTCATTATAGGTTTCATCTATTTCTTCATTGGACCTCAAGTCTATCAATACGACTACATTCAGAAACGCTCGGTTGGAGTTGAGAAAGCAAATTCTTGGCTTGGATGCTGACATGTTGTAATTCTGTTGTTGTAATACTGTGAACACGCTACAAAGAGCTGATTTGGCATCCCTGAATAAATTACTTTATGGGTTGTTAAATGGAGATGGACTTGAGAAGTTGTACTACTATACGTATAATGTTGACATTATGGGAGTTTTTGTGGTGGAGGGCGGTACATGAACCAAGCCTGGTGCCTCACTAATTGTAGCATGCTTTGACTTGACTGCAAAAGAGACATTGGATTTCTTTAGACTTCAAAACCAAAGTGCACACACATGTTCAACAATTACCCTGCTACCAGACGACAAATGTAGACGTTTCATTGGAGAGACGATGACCACAAAAACCTCCAGAAAATGTGGGACAGGTAGACCCAGTTGTAACTGGAGCGACCATGTGATTACCCGACATTCCCCCCTAAGAATACCCGCATATAAAATATCCAAAGGCAGTGCAGAACAGGGCATTTTAAAACATGGCGTTGGTCTTGTCTTGGATACTCGCATGGGGTTCCTTGTTTGCGGGCTTGTCGTGGACTTTACCAGTGCAGCAGCGGGACCAGGGGCTCAGGCCTGAAGATATGCAACTCGCTGAGGTTTGTGCATAGAAATAATACTTTTATAAACACCAAATGCATTTAGTTACATGAACCATTTATTCATGTAACTCTGCATATGTCACTTGTTTTATGTACTATATGCAGAGAAATAATAATTTTATTAAAACATTTTATGAGCAACAATAATTTGAAAACGAGACAGCCCTGATCCTATTGTGACTAACACGACTGCAACTACTGCACATTAATGTGTACTAGTTCCTGGCTCAAAAACAATTTGCTTCTTTCATTGGTTTTCACTAGCGCATTTTGGCCTCTATCATATCTTTAGATCAGCTTTTTCAGACAGAAAAGGGAAAAAGAGAGGACCACACTCAACCAATCAGCTCTCAGCCCAAAACCTCTAATTGTGACTTACAAGGCTCTGTCTTACAAGTACATGTAGTATACCATGTTTTCTATTTAGGTGAAGACAGCATTAGGTTCTTATGTGTTCACCTTTTACTTTCTGATGAGATGAACAACATTCATTATGTATTAAACAAATATAGTATTAATCCTCAGTCTTTTATATTTGTACAATATTGTTTTGTGATTAACTACTACTACGAATACAACCACTATAGTTTACTTTCACAAGCGCCAACCACGGCAAAGGTTTTCTCCGGGTGCTTTGGTTTCCCCTTCCACTAATAATATGTACAATAGGTCTGGCATGCGCCTCCTGTTCGGCGACCCTGCTCCCATCTGTGGAGAGACAAATGCCCACAACAACTGTAAAGCGCTTTGTGACTTTGGTCTATGAAAGGATATTTTAAATAAACATGACTTACTTTCTTACTATACTTAAAAGCTCTGCTCAAGTAGAACTCTCTTAAGGCATAACCAACATAGTAAACAACAATTTTACATCTATAATGTGTATATTGTATTCAAAATGGCTCGTGATGCTTTTATAGATTCTTTCTTGATTTGTGCCCCTGTAAAATGAGATAATCAAGGCCATTATGAAGTTTTGTCTTTTTTATTGGTCGTCAATCTCACATTTTCCTATATCATCATATTTTATAGTGCAAACTCAGGATCACAACAGACCTAAATCACTATGATAGGATCATTCGTGGTGATTATTGCGGTGGCGTACTATACACAAACTATATCGATTCATCCGGCATATGCTTTCACTCATCTTGACCCTCACAGACGTTTACATTTCAATCATTCTCAATTATAATTCAACAAAAATTTCTATGTATCTAAAGATAACTCCTCCTACAGAACTACCTCAGCCGTTATTACAAGCTCAGCCCTGAGGAGCAGCATGGACCGAAGCACAAGAGAATCACCCGAACCACATCTGAAATCACGGACCACAAAATAAGAGAAATGCAGCACTTTTTTGGCCTGAGCGAGACGGGCCTCCTCGACCACGAGACCCTGGACACCATGAAGGAGGCGCGGTGCGGTGTCCCAGATGTGGATAACTTCAACTTCTACCCCAACAAACCTCGCTGGAAGAACACCACCATCACCTACATGTGAGAGCTGAAAGGAGGCTATACATGTTGCCAGAAAGTCATTTTGACGCTTAAGTATTCAACAAATTGAATGAAAAAAATTATGCAGTATAATCTTCAAAACATACATGTTTATTTAGTATTAAACAATGGTGTATGCTAATTCTAATATAATTCAAGTCTTATTCTCAGTCAATTGAGAAAATATCTATTAAAAGGTCCAATGCAGAGGACAAAGTGTACCTTAGACATGCCCTGAACCAAACAAGTTTTTTTGATAACCCAAATGTATTCTATACGATTACCAAATTGTTGCAAGAAATAAAATAACGCTTACAAAGCAAGGATAATGAGAAAATATCAAATTATTAAATACAAATTGGCAACTAGCCATTTTTCCATAATTCTAGTATTAATAACGTTCAGAGTGGTCATTCATGTTTACTACTGTGAATCAAGAGGAAATTCATGTCTTCACTTGTAGAGTTAAAAGAGTCAATTCTGACAGATTTAATTTCATTTTAATCAAAACTAACCAAATGTTTTACAGGATTGCAAGGTACACTCCAGACATGAGGAAGGACGATGTAGACAAGTCTTTTCGTTTGGCTTTCAAGATGTGGAGCGATGCCACTCCTCTCAGATTTGTCCAAGTCGAGCGAGGCAAAGCTGACATCGTACTGAACTTTGCGCAAGGATGTAAGTAATCCCAATACTTGATCTACTGAAGTCACAATCCTCGCTTTTGCAATTTTACTTGCAGTGGTAGCTCTTTTTAAGTTCTGCACTTTTCTTTCTGGGTATTTACTTCTATTTTGTTTCGAACTGAAACATCTGTACTTTCTATACCATACATTAAAAAAGTATTAGTTACTTTACAGATGGCGAAAGGGTAACTGTGCTTCTAAGTGAATTCCTTCATTGTGGCTCGCTACGCTTGGTTCAGATAACAAATCTGCTTCTTTTTTCGTATTTCATATATAAAACAACATTAAGTGTTCAAAAGGCAAGGTTTTAAATGTATGTAAATTACTCAACAAAAATGCATTTTACTTAAGTAAAGAGATTACTTCAATACTTTTACTAGAGTTTATTTTCATACTAGTATCTCTACTTCAGTACCTGAGACTAGTATACTTTTGCCACCTCTGGTGACTTGATGGAACTCACCATTTCTTCAACTATAATTAGAAGCCAAAATACCAACTAAACTGGAGGGCAAGGTTTAGTACTGCAACAATTATAACTTCAAAATATTATTCTCACTTTAGTTCATGGAGATTTCTTCCCATTTGATGGACCAAAGGGTGTTCTAGCTCACGCCTTTCAGCCCGGGTCGGGGATTGGAGGAGACATTCACTTTGATGAGGATGAGACGTGGACAACAAGCAGTTATGGTAGGTCTTAAAACTCCAAAGCTAAAGATGAATTGAGGAACAATAATGTAACTCTTTTGTTGCGTTGGCAGGTTACAGTCTATTTGCCGTGGCTGCTCATGAGCTGGGTCACTCTCTCGGTTTAACACACTCCCAGGACCCCTCTGCCATCATGTACCCCAACTACAGAAGACGTAGCAACAAACAGTATTCCCTATCAAAAGATGATATACTTGGCATTCAAACATTATACGGTAAGCTCATTATTTCTTTGCAAAACACTACATTAATGATTGATCTGGGAATTTGGCTAAAGGTAAACCAGCAGAAAGGGCAGACATGGCTCCCAGGAAGTGTGATCCCAACTTCTCTTTTGATGCAGCCGCGATGATTGGAAGTGAAATGGTTTTCTTTAAAAATAGGTGAGATTATACTTTTCAGATTTGAAAAGATTGGAATAGTTTGACTCAACTCCTCTAAATAGTTGCATGAAGATGAAGTGTGAAAGAAAATAAGCAAAAAACACTAACTATTTTCAGGTATATGTGGATGCGAACAACATATACAACGTTTTGGAACCAGCTAAGAGAGGGTTCGATGAGCACGTATTTACCAAGCATCTACTCTCACATCGATGCAGCGTATGAAGTTCCTGCAAGAGGCCTGACATACCTCTTCACTGGTACAGTATAACAGGAAGGACTTTGAATACAAACAGAATGTTTCATGTTTGCAAATGCAATCAGCAACTAAAAATGATATCCAATAGGTCCGAGAGCATTTAAACTGGGGTACCCAGCTTTAAAACCACAACAATGGAACTAAGTAATAAAATCCATATAGTAATCCAACTAAAATCCAACTAGTTCTTGGCTCTAAAACAGTGTGGCTCTATCACAAGACTCCATTCATCCATACAGCTTTTACTGATAGAAAAAGTAAAAGCTGAGAGAACCATGCTCAGTCAGCCCTCAGCACTCAAGATGAAGACAGAATAATGTGGTCTAATTTTACTTTACTTTTACAATACCTTCTATTGGAATTAAAACAAAAAAGTATCCCATCTTAAGTGCTTACATAGACACCTAAGTGCAGAAATACTGTAAATATAACCCTAATCAGCTAATCAACCATTCTCACCGTTATCTCCAAATGCAGCTAATGTGAAGCTCACATATCTGTCATATATTTTATTCAAAACAAAATATAAAGCTTATTTTATCATTGCCTGCTGATTCTGCAACATCTGAACAGTTTTTCAATTTTTATCTGTACTGTTTTATGACCCTTAAATTATCATGGCTGCCACAACCTGATAAGACAGTTATCTGGTTGGTAGGAATGTTACAGCCCTAAACTTGGCTCTGAGAAGGGAAAAGGAAATGCAACATACACAACCAGATGTAATTGGCGAAAGTAAATGGCCTTTTTTTTCTAGCCAGAAAAGGTAACGTCCTGGACAAAACTTAGAGTCAGAAAACTAAACAAAAGGTGTTCCTTCGACAGGTAACAAATCACCACAATTCTAATAAGGTCTCGTAAGGTCTCGTACGGTCATGTAACGTCTCTCAAAAGGTGTCAGCTCTCCACCACACGTCTGTCTCTCAAGGCTGGCGCACTTGTATGGGAAACAAGCCGCCCCGTCTGGACGTCACACCGCTGTTTTATTGGCCGCGGGCAGGTCAGCTGGTGGCGCAGATTGGTTCGGGCGGAGCTCCTATTGGCCATACAGGAGGACTCCGGGCGAATGGCAGCATCCGGGAGGCGGGCCCTAGACTTTCGCGGGAACGAGCCGGACACACAGACAAGAGAGAGGCACCGGGAGAGGGAGGAGGTGCTTGCGCAAAACGGCCCAGACCTGGAGCCGTAACACCCCACCCCTCAAGACACTGTCCACCCTAACATTTTTTTCTCTGAACAAAACAAACATCAGAACACACACAAATTTATGCAGCCACCACACTTATCTGGACAAGGCATCGGCAAACACATTCTCCGATCCCTTTTTATGTCGAATCTCTAACGGAAAGTCCTGCACCATCAAGGCCCACCGCATCAGTCTCTGGTTGTGATTATACATGCGGGACAAAAAGGTTACAGGGTTATGGTCGGTAAACACAATGATTGGCACAGAACTGGACCCAAGGTACACTTCGAAGTGCTGGAGAGCGAGCAACAGTGACAAAGTCTCCTTTTCTATGGTGGAGTAGCGGAGCTGGTGTGTATTAAACTTTCGGGAGAAGTAACATACCGGATGGGTAACACCACTCGCATCCTCCTGCATCAGGACCGCACCTGCACCGACCCCACTAGCGTCCACTTCAAGCTTGTAGGGGCGCAACGGGTCAGGAGCAGCGAGGACAGGTGCATGGCACAGCAGAGACTTGACGCTGTCAAAAGCGGATTGACACTCAGTAGTCCATTTAAAATCAACTTTAGGACTCAATAAGGTGGTCAGCGGGACAACCACTGATGAGAAATTTCGGCAGAAACTTCGGTAGTACCCAGCCATGCCCAGGAAGCGGCGCAGCTCACGCCGAGTGGTGGGAGGCGGATAGGCGTCTATCGCGGAAACTTTAGCCTCAATAGGTCGGACTTGGCCCTGGCCAACCTCACGTCCCAAATATGTAACGTGAGCCTTCCCGAACTCACATTTAGCGAGGTTTAGGGTGAGTGAGGCAGCTGCCAATCTGGAAAACACCTGCTGTAGGACGTGTACGTGTTCCTTCCAGGTAACGGAGTGGATCAATAAGTCGTCCAGATAGGCATTACAACTGGGCAGGCCCTGTAGAACGACATTAATCAGGCGTTGAAAAGTTGCGGGAGCGTTGCACATTCCAAACGCCATCACGGTATATTGCAGGAAGTAATCAGGCGTTACAAACGCAGATATTTCTGACGCGCGCTTAGTCAGCGGGACTTGCCAGTAACCTTTCAACAAATCCAATTTAGTGACGTATTTAGCAGGACCGAGATTGTCCACACAATCCTCCATGCGGGGCATGGGATATGAGTCAGGGACAGTGACCGCGTTAACTTTACGGAAATCCGTGATGAAGCGAGGCGAGCCATCAGGTTTTTCTTCCACCAAACAGGGAGAACTCCAAGCGCTAGTGCTGTGTTTAGCCAGACCATTGGCCAATAAATACTCAGCCTCCTGCTTCATCAGCGCGCGTTTTGTGGGATTCACCCGATACGGATGCTGGCGAATGGGACGCGCGTCCTTCACGTCTACGTCATGTGCCAATACATTGGTGCAACTTGGTACGTCCCCAAACAGACATCTGAATCGTCCCACTACAGCCAGAACGTCAGCCTGCTGATCAGCGCTCAAATGCTTCAGTTGGGCAGGTAAAACCGTAAGCATTTCAGAGTTCGGGAGACGCGGACTATGCTCTTTACGCATCTTCAGTCCGCTCTCAGCGGTCTGGTCAGCCACAATCAGAGCGGAGACACACTGAAGGGGGGGCTCCGTCGTGGGCGGTGTAACGCGGGGAGTGATACTGCTTCAACATATTAATGTGGCACACGCGGGTTTTTCGCCTCCTGTCCGGCGTGTTGATAATATAGTCGGTATCAGACAGTTTCTCATTAACCACATAAGGACCGGTATATTTAGCAGAGAGCGTCTCCCCCTGCACGGGTATCAAAACGAGCACCTCATCTCCCGCTTTGAATGAGCGAGCCAGCGTCCTCTTATCAAACTGACGCTTCATTTTTGCCTGTGCAGTCTGTAGGGCAGCCCTAGCGAGTAAATTTGCTTTCAGTACGCGCTCACGGAATGTGCTTACGAAATCTAAAACATTGGCTGTGGTGGGTGAAGAAAGAAAAGTCTCCTTCAGCGCTTTGAGCGGGCCCCGGGGAGTGTGGGCAAATATTAACTCAGCGGGGCTGAACCCCAAAGACTGAGTCGCATCCCGGGCTGCAAACAGTACGAACGGGATCCCTTGATCCCAATTTTTTTCAGTTTCCATACAGTACTTGCGCAGCATGGATTTAAGCGTCTGGTGCCAACGCTCCAGAGCACCCTGTGACTCAGGGTGATACGCGCTGGACAGAACATGTTTTACCCCAAGTGTCTGAACCACTTGTGCAAACAGGTTAGACTTGAAATTCGCTCCCTGGTCTGTCTGTATGATTTTTGGGAGTCCAAAGACTGAAAAGAATTTCAACAATGCCTTGACTACGGATTGCGCAGTGATTTTACGCATCGGGATGGCCTCTGGGAAACGCGTGGCAGCACACATTATAGTGAGTAGAAATACATTACCATTCTGTGTGCGGGGCAGAGGCCCTACACAGTCAACTATGACGCGGTCAAAAGGCTGATCAATAACAGGTATGGGATGTAAAGGAGCTGCTAGGATTGGCTGGTTGGGCTTTCCCACCATCTGACACACGTGACAGCTGCGGCAAAACTCTGCCACGTCCTTCTTCATCCCAGGCCACACAAACTGTCTTAACAGCGATTTGTACGTCTTTGTAACGCCTAGGTGACCCGACCACAAGCTTTCATGTGCCACTGCTGTAATCTGATCACGGTAGCAGGAGGGCACGACTATTTGGTAGACCGCAAACACATTGTCATGGGTGACGTGGGGAGACCATTTACGCATTAACACACCCTCGCGCAAGAAGTAACAGATCTGAGCTTTGTCACATTGTTCGCTACTCACCACACTGGAAACCAAGTTGTGTAACGTTGGGTCAGATCTCTGCTCCGCAATGAGCCGCCCACGTGAACAAGGCAGAGCCGGGTTGTCGATTTTTGGAGACGCGGCCTTCCGCGGAGTCGAGCTTTGGGAAGCCTGGGTCTCAGCTGTAGGCACAAAATCTGCTGAAATGTCAGATAAAAATGTGTCAGACAAACTAACATCATTTCCGATATTACGGCGGGCTTGGGCACGCGTAACCGCGCACGCAGGATAAATCTCAGTAGAGCAAATATCCATACTGTCCAGCGGGGAATCAGCCACTTCCAAGGGTGGAGTTACCAGGCCCCCGGCCACATCATTTCCCATCAACATGTGAATCCCTGGAATTGGCAACGCGTTGCAAACAGCAACGGGAAATGTCCCATTTACAAGTTTGGACTCGATGTGCACCAGATGTACTGGCTGCGGGCAGTAACCCATTTCTATTCCCCGTAGCACAGTTTTGTACGCGCACGAGGACTGCTCAGAAAAGGGGAGAGCACTGGCTAAGATAAACGTCTGAGACCCGCCAGTGTCTCTCAAAATGCGGATGGGTCTTTGATCAGGTGCGTTGCCAGTCAGAGAAACTATTCCGTCAAAGATGAATGGGTCAAAACACGAATCTGGGTCTTGGCAGGTGCTAGGAGCTAGGCTAACCTCAGTTTTGATTAGCCCAAGACCTTTAGGTTTCGGAGAGCCTGGTCTGCGTCTGAGTACAGGACACGTGGCAACAAGATGCCCAGCAGTGCGGCAGTAGTAGCATTCCCTTTCTTCCGGGCCCGTCCTGTCAGTCCTCGGAGAAGTAGGCCTAGGAGCAGATGCGCGAGGCCTGTCAGGCCCGCCTCCAAATATGGATTTGTGAGTCAGCACAAATTCGTCAGCTAAAACAGCAGCATCCGAAATGGTCTTCACCTTCTGCTCATTTAGATATACCACAACACGGTCCGGGAGGCTTCTCTTAAAATCCTCCAGCAACATAAGGTCACGTAACGAAGCAAAACTCTGAGCTTTAGCAGACGAACACCACTTGTCAAATAGCATTCCTTTCTCCCTCGCAAACTCAATGTAGGTATGGTTTTGGGCCCTTTTATGGCTTCGGAACCTTTGCCTGTAGGCCTCAGGGACCAGCTCATATGCCCTTAGTATGGCGCTCTTGACTGCTTCGTACCGCAGACTGTCAGCAAGAGGCATGGCTGCAATGATTTCTTGGGCTTTCCCGTACATTTTACATTGGAGCAAAAGAGGCCAAATATCGCGTGGCCAGTTTAATGCCGAGGCGATGCGCTCGAATGCAGCAAAATATGAATCCACTTCTCCCTCTCGGAAGGGGGGTACAAGGGGAATACATTTACTTACATCGAGGGCGCCGCCGTGAACGGATGGGGAGTGGGCTGCAGCCTGCGCGGTGGATCCAGGGCCGGGAGTAGGACTGGGAGGGAGGCGACCTTCAGCCTCCAGCTCAAGGCGGCGCAGTTTGACGTCTTTGTCAGCCTCTATCTCGAGCTTGCGCACCTGAAATTCGAGCTCGGCACTGCGGTCCCGTTCCTTCTGCTCAGCTTCCATTTTAATGCGGGCCAGGCGCACAGCGCGTCGGGCAGCATCCAAGGACCGAGGAGAGGTGGGAGGAGAGTGTGGGTCATACCGGGGGAGGGTGAACTGTGGGTTAGGCGGTTCATCAACCCCCGCGCCCGCTCTCTTTGTCCCAGGGGGAGAACCATCTGAAGGTCCAGGTTTCTCCTCCCGCTTTGGGGTTCCCGCAGGCACGATACTCTCATCAGTCCCCTCAGAAGCCACTGGTTGCGAGAGCAGGCCCAACTCCACCAAGCCATCCACAAGCAGCGCCCGGATCTCGTCCTTTCTGCTCTGTTTGGAATATAAAATATTAAAATGCACAGCAATTGCTATGAGGTCTTTCTTTTTGCATTTGTTCAACTCCTCAAGGGAAGGCTCTTCCACGAAGGCCTCGAAGTCAAACACCATTTTGAAAATGCCCAAATACAATTAACCTTCACTTACCCAAAGTAAATGTCCATTTACTGTTGTCGGGAATGTTTTAAAACAAGATCCCGGACGAGCCCCCAATATATGTTACAGCCCTAAACTTGGCTCTGAGAAGGGGAAAGGAAATGCAACATACACAACCAGATGTAATTGGCGAAAGTAAATGGCCTTTTTTTTCTAGGCAGAAAAGGTAACGTCCTGGACAAAACTTAGAGTCAGAAAACTAAACAAAAGGTGTTCCTTCGACAGGTAACAAATCACCACAATTCTAATAAGGTCTCGTAAGGTCTCGTACGGTCATGTAACGTCTCTCAAAAGGTGTCAGCTCTCCACCACACGTCTGTCTCTCAAGGCTGGCGCACTTGTATGGGAAACAAGCCGCCCCGTCTGGACGTCACACCGCTGTTTTATTGGCCGCGGGCAGGTCAGCTGGTGGCGCAGATTGGTTCGGGCGGAGCTCCTATTGGCCATACAGGAGGACTCCGGGCGAATGGCAGCATCCGGGAGGCGGGCCCTAGACTTCGCGGGAACGAGCCGGACACACAGACAAGAGAGAGGCACCGGGAGAGGGAGGAGGTGCTTGCGCAAAACGGCCCAGACCTGGAGCCGTAACAGGAAAGTAGGAAGAAGGTTCTAGAATAGTTTGCTTGTAATTGGCTGAGCAGGCTAAGACTTACATAATATCAGTTTGTAGAAATCATAAAAAAACTATACAATAAAGTTTTATTGTGACATGTGAATGCACATTTTGAGCAGAGGACACAATTCACACTTAAAACTCTACCATTCAGTTCATCTGCAATTGTTCTTCTGTGATTGAAGTGTTGCCCTTTCTGTCAGCATGACACAGAGAAGCAGAGTGTTGTGCTCTAATTACATTCTTGTGAAACCCTCTTTTAGTACACTCTGAGTGTGGGTATAGTTGTGGTACGCTGCTTTTCCTATGTCCCACAGTGACACATGTTTGCATTTTCTCACAGGTCATAAATACTGGAGTGTTCAACAGCTCAAAACAAAGAGTCATGCTGCCTCCATCTCTGACTTTGGCTTCTCCTCCAGTGTGACTCACATCGATGCCGCGGTCCATGTTAGTGAATACAGCAAAACTATATTCTTCACTGAGGATTTGTATTACAGGTAACAGCACATCTCGAAAAGTACAGAATGTCTTGGAAGAACTATGGAGGACTATTTATTAGGAAATAGCATTCTAATATTGTGATTGTTTGAGGGTTATGGGAAATTGGAAAACTCTAAAAGAACCAGTATCATTTATTTTTTATTTTTTTTATTTAGCACATTTCTGGTGGATTAATGTAACTTAATGTCACTGGTATTTTTGTCAGTATTTCCCAACTACATATTTATAGGTAATCAGATGTGTGCACATTGAGGCAAGAGAGGTACCGTGTTTACACTGGTAGTGCATCAAAATACCAGGATGCTGAGTTTAGGGTGGATCCATTCCCATATACTGAACAAGGACTTAAGTACGAGCATACCAAGGGATGCTCAGCAATCTAAGAGCAACGGATGCAACAGAAGCAACAGAGGTCTGGCTTCAATTTATGAAGTGCTAGCTATCAGCCAAGAGGATTGGACCAATCAGGCATGTGTGGTTCCATAATAAAGCCGTACCTCCGTTACCAAGATGTGCGCAGCCGCCTTTGTTTACACACACTGAAAGGGTCTATACTACTAACGCTTTTGCCAAGTAAAAAACATAACTGTACCAGGCTAAACACTGCAGATGGGTTAGCAATTCAAAATAAAACATATACATTTTGTTTGGGATTGTCTAATTGTCATTATTAGGAAACCCATGTAGCATTTAGGTTTTCACAACGGTTTCTCTGTGACCAGGTATGATGAACGCAAAAGAAAAATGGACAGTGGTTTCCCTCGACACATCCACAGAGACTGGCCCGGAATCCCAAGCAAAGTGAACGCTGCCTTCAAGTTACAAGGTGAAAATGTTCCCAGGGCCAGTATATGGTCACATATGGTCTGTAGTGGAGACCTCAGCTGCAGGAATAGCATACGGCTAAAATAGAAGTTATAATTTCTTGTTTTTAACATCTTTCACCAAATAAACTTTCACGTCCCTTTAAAACAATACAGCTTTTCACTTTTACAGTTCATTAAAATAACTTTTGACAAAATACTTCAAAGGGAATTGTGTTTGCAAACTCTATTGACTCTTCCATTTGTGTGTATCACAGGGAGTATTTTCCTCATCAGTGGAACAAAGTCTTACCAGTACGACTACAGGAAGAACAGAGTACTCAAGATCATTTTGGCAAATTCCTGGCTCGGATGTTGACATGTTGGATGTTGTTAATGTCCTCTGATTACAGTCACATTAGGCTTGTTATCACCTGTAACAGTGAAATTGTGTATGGAATAAATGCACTTGTTTAATAATTATTGGAATGTAGAAAAAAATGCTGGTTTGGGGACTGGTTTACGTGTTATTTGTATCTTTTTTTTTTTTGCACATATATATGTAAAACAAATATTTGTGAACATTTGTGAGATGTGTGATCTCAACTATATAAATAAATGTGTGTGTTTTTTATGGAACAGCCCATAATGTTCAAACCATATCTGCTTCCCACACAAAATAAACAGATTTCAACAGACATGGACCCTTAGACACTACATGCTTTGCAATATTTACATATATTAAAGTCCATTTGTGCAAAACAAGCGGCTATCTATTCTCTACGAATGTTAAACAAGTCATGTGGTCATGTGTCTCTTTCCACTGTTTTATGAAGGGGATTTCTCTGAAGGGGTGCAGAGGTATTCATCAACAGTCAACTTCAATACTTCAGGGCAACTAATGGATAACAGAATAACTAATGGACGACAAAAAGTATTATTAATAAAGATGTCTGTATTTTGGATGTTGCTGTTGGGTGCCTTAACCCTGTGTCACGCTGCACCAGCTCCAGCTATTGCTCCAACAATTTCACCAGATGACCAAACAAAAGCTGAGGTAAGAATTGCACGGATTAAGATGCTTAACAGAGTAAGACGACTCAATAGCAAATTATAAAGTCTAAATGCATCAATGGTTGCGCTTATCAGTGTGTCCAAACTATACAACATAAAACATTTGTTAGATTATAGAGGGGTGGTTTATAGATCTAATTTCCACATAATAACTATATATTAAACACAATTGGAAATATTTATAATTCAAGAAAACAATATACAGTACTACACCATGGGTCAGCTGTTTTATGAATTGTTATATTATTCTAAACATATTCAAGTTTGTTTATAATCTCAGCATTATATCATGTACTTTCCTCATACTGTTTTCTATCGTTTTTAGGATTACATTTTTCAGTTTTATTCTGATGTCGGGGTGTGAAATGTTTCGACAAGAAGTCTTGTCCAAGCCAGAAACTTCACAGAGGAGTTGGAGTCTATGCAGTCTTTCTTTGGATTGAAGGTTCTTTGTTGACAATATTAAATATTCAAATACGAACTTAGATTTGCAGAGTAATTACAATCTTTTACTGACCTGAAGGTGACAGGCACTTTGAACGCTGAGACAATTGAAGTCATGCAGGCGCCGAGGTGTGGGGTGTCGGACATAAGCAGATACGGACACTTCCCTGGGAAACCTAAGTGGCAGAAAAGTCTCATTACATACAGGTTAGATAATACCAAATATAGTTTATGATTAAGTGGATTTAAAGAAGCACTAACATAACTGCCTATATACTGGTTGTAATTTGTATTTTGACAGGATTACACAGTACACTCCAGATCTTTCACAGAGAGAAGTTGATGCCACAATCGCTCAGGCTTTTCAATTGTATAGTGATGTCATTCCACTGAACTTCAAACAGATCTCCAGTGGCAATGCAGACATTATGATCCTTTTCAAGGGTGGCTGTAAGTGGCGGGAACTGGTATAATGTAATAAATATTATACAATTATGATATGATTAATTATAATACAATTGTATTGTTTCCTTTTGCTCTAGATCATGGAGACTTTTATCCTTTTGACGGCCGTGGAGGAGTTTTGGCCCATGCTAACTCTCCTGGGAGGGGCCAGGGAGGAGTCACTTTGATGATGATGAAACCTGGACTCTAACCCAAAGTGGTAAACATGCTCAGAGAATTCTGTGTTCGAACTCACTCAAATAGATGCAAGCAGATTGGCACATAAAAAAACAGTACAGCATTACAATATACTAAAAACGTTGTTATTGTGAAAACTTGAGTCTTGATTTTTTTCCAGGAGAAAGAAGTTTTGTAAAAGGATTATCAAACATAACATATCAAATCAGGCCACAACATGCATTGTATTAGGAAACATAGTGAGGCACTATTTGATGTTTTGAAGTGACTGAGGTTGGGCTTCTCTTTATTACTTTTCTGTCTGAAAAATCTGATCCAAAGATGTGACAGAGGTCAAAAATAAAAACATGTTAAAACTATTGGTTTGAGAGCAAGGAAAGAATTACATGGATTTTGGTTATCCCACTAGTCTTACAACACTATTCTTTCCCAAAGGCTAATGGTTTACAACCTCACACATGCCATGAATTTACAAATGGTTTCATTGATGATTTATCAGTTGGTACTAAAATGATTTTCTCTTTCTTTCTCACTTGAACTTCTTAAAATATGCATGTTTTTCTTTCTGTTTTATTGCTCAGGTGTGAATTTGCTGCTGGTGGCAGCCCATGAGTTTGGTCACGCTCTGGGCCTGGATCATTCGCGGGACAGACGAGCGTTGATGTTTCCCACATATCAGTACGTCAACACAAATGGCTATAGGCTGCCGGACGATGACGTTCGTGGAGTTCAAGCTCTTTATGGTAAACCACAAAGCATTGATTCAAAAGTAACTTGTTGGCCATCAATCTGTAACAAAGCCTTTTCAGGTTTAGACCAGTTCTGGATAGATACAATAATCGAATAATTGAGGGGTTTAGTATTTAGTATGGTGACTTGAACAAGTTGAGTTGCAGTTCTGTATGAAATGTGCTGTATACTTTGTATAACATTTGTTTTTTTCTAGGGAGCAGAACAACGGACCCTAATCCCAAACCCCCTCCTACTCCTGCCCCTGAGCCAGACCCAGAGGACCCTGAAGAGCCAGACCCTTTGCCCAATCCTGGTGCAGATCAATGCAGCCGCAGTTTGGTCTTTGATGCAGCAACTTCTATAAGAGACTTGTTTTTCTTTAAAAATGGGTAAATCTGCTTTTCAGCATGCACAATCTAGTTTTACAGTTGAATTGATCTCAGGAGTATTTCTTACACAGATATTATTGGAGAAAGAGTCGCTCATTCAATGGAATACGTCTTGTAAGGGTTCCCTCCAAATGGGGACAGATAAATCAAGTGGATGCTGCTTATGAAGTCCCAAATGAAAGCACATTTTTCGTTTCTGAAGGTTTGTGTTAAACATCAGCACAGATAATGGGCAGCCAGTGATGGGCACTCAAAACAGTGTACTAACAATATTTTGGACAGGCCGCCAATACTGGGGGATAAGATCTCCGTCAAAAAATATGATTCCTGGCTACCCAAAACCTTTGACAAATCTTGGGCTCCCAGCGAGGCTCAGTAAGGTGGATGCAGCAGTTCATGTGACATTGACTAGAAAGACACTATTTTTTGCAAATAATCAATACTGGAGGTTAGTAAACCACAGACAGACAGCAAGAAAATTAAGCGTAAGTAAAGTAAATAATTTTTGTGTTTTGTAGCTATGATGAAGCCCGAAACCAAATGGACGCTGGATATCCACGATACATTTTTCAAGACTTTCCTGGTGTCGGTTCAAAAGTAGATGCAGTATTTGAGAATTATTGTAAGACACATGTTAGTTGCTAAATAGAATCCCAAGAATAAAAATAAAAACGTGCATGTAAACTAGTGACGGTAACTAATTATACATATTCCTTCCATAGGTTACTTGTACTTCTCAAATGGCGCAAGGCAGAGTGAGTACTACCTGCCATTAAAGAAAGTGAATCGTGTTCTGCTAAACTATGGCTGGCTCGACTGCTACTGAAACTGTGTGATCGTCTTCATCCACTCAACTTAAGATGAGCAATTTTTACTTTCCTGTAAATACATGCCAGATAACATATCTAAACATTATGAATTGTACTTTCCTTTAGGGCTGTAATTGAAGATCATTTTTATCTTTGATCGATTTTGTTGGCTGTTTATTCTTTATTATAATTGATTTGTTGTTTAGATTCAAGCTCCTGGAGAACATCTTAATAGTATGTGAAACAATATACATAGAATGGTTTGAACAATTAATCACTTACTAATGTATCTCTCATGGGCTTTCCTGAACTAGCGGACATTATGAAAGCTTAATAAAATCAGCTGTGAAGATGGTTTTGTTTACACTATCCTTAACCAGGTCTAGAGTTTTCTCCAAAGTGCAGAACCTTCTCTCCTCAACTCTGTCCTCCCTCTTAAAATCTTGATTTTTATGATATAAAAACAACCAAAACTCTGATGCTCTTCTCTTGAGTAAGTGTCCTAAAACAGAACAACCACAATACAGTTTGTGTGCACAGACTTTGATGGTTTGGTCATTACAGATTATATTATACAAAAGAGCTGAGTTCTACATTTGAAAGCTTCTGTCTGACTAAGCATGTGAGCGCTTCCTCACCCCAACAGCAGAGGGCACACTCTCAACCAACTGATTACTTAGGGGGTTAATATTTCAGTTAATTGGGCAAGTGTAACTGACAGGTGAATTATGAGATCATCAAAGCCAAGTTCAGCGAGTTGAAGCAGATGCTATGTAGAACAAGATAAAGGTATTTATATTAAATATTTGCAACAGTTAATAGATTAACAAACCTTCCACATCTAAATCTAAAAATCGGAGTGAAAACATCCACCTATCAGTAAGGTCAGGGTTGCAGCTAGGTCTATCAGCATGACAATGATACCAAACACACCCAGGCAACGAATGAGTGGCTTCATAAGAAGAATTTCAAGGTCCTGAAGTTGCCGTGCTTGCAAGTCTCCAGAAGTCAACCCCATCGAAAATGAGGTAGTTGAAAGTGACAGCCCCAAAACATCACTGCTCTTGAAGAGATCAGTCTGGAGGAATGGGCCAAAAATACAAGCAAGAGTGTATGACAACCATGTGAAGACAGAAAACTTTTGACCTGTCATTTCCAACAAATGGTATAAAACAAAGTATTGAGATGGACTTTTGTTGTTGACTAAATACTAATTTCCCACCACAATTTACAAATACATTCTTTAAAAAATGATTTTCTGGATTTTTGTCTAATTTTGCCTCTCATGTTAAAGGTACCTACACTATACTACTATGATGAAAAATACAGTCTCATGGTTTTAAGTGGAATAAAGTGTGTCTTTTATGGATCACTAGATGTGTTTTTATGGAACATCATGGGAAAGTCCCTTATGTTCAAACCATGTGTGCTACTCCCACACAATAAACAGAATTCAATAAACACTGACTCACAACATGATGTGCAATATTTACTTGTATTAAAGTCCAGCTTGAACTTTTTAAAAATGTTCTGTTAAACTTATCATGCACCGCTGTCTCCTCCCACTGTTATAGCAAAAGGGAAATTCCTTTAAAGAAGTGCAGAAGTATATATTGACAGTCAACTTTGACACTTCAGGAGTTTCAGAATAAACCAATAGATGGAAAACAACTGTATTATTAATTAAAATGTCTGTATTTTGGATGTTGCTGTTGGGTGCCTTAACCCTGTGTCATGCTGCACCAGCTCCAGCTAATACTCCAACAATTTCACCAGATGACCAAACAAAAGCTGAGGTAAGAATTGCACGGATTAAGATGCTTAACAGAGTAAGACGACTCAATAACAATTGCAAAGAAAGATAGCAACAGCAAACTTGGCAATTACAAAGTCCAAATGCATCAATGGTTGTGGTTATCAGAAGAAGAGTGGTTTATAGAGTAAAAAACAATTCACTACACATCATATGAAATATTTATTATCCAGCATTCAGGAAAACAATATAATTCTCAACCAGATCCGACAACGGGCCAGCTGTTCAGCATTATATTATGCACTAACCAAATTGTGTTTTGTGTTGTTTTTAGGATTATATTTATCAGTTTTATTCGGATGTCGGGGTGGTGAATGTTTCGACAAGAAGCCTCGTACAAGATAGAAACTTCACAGAGGAGTTGCAGTCTGTGCAAACTTTCTTCGGATTGGAGGTCCTTGATTAAAGGTTTTTTTTTTTCAGATTTGCAGTGTACTTACATTCTTTTACTGACCTGAAGGTGACCGGCACTTTGAATACTGAGACACTTGAAGTGATGAAGACGCCAAGATGTGGCGTGTCGGACATAAGCAGATTTCCTGGGAAACCTAAGTGGAAGAAAAGTCTCATTACATACAGGTAAAGTAATACAAACAATAGTTTAAGATAAAGTAGATGTAAGGAATAACATATTACAACAAAATACAATTGGTGATTTAAAAGGTTTCTTCTTGTAATGGCTACTTGTTACCATTTCTGTTGATGTTTAAAAGTGGTGATTTGTATTTTGACAGGATTACACAGTACACTCCAGATCTTTCACAGAGAGAAGTTGATGCCACAATCGCTCAGGCTTTTCAATTATATAGTGATGTTATTCCACTGAACTTCAAACAGATCTCCAGTGGCAATGCAGACATTATGATCACGTTCAAGGGCAGCTGTAAGTGGAGGGACCTGCTATAATATCTTTAATTGCATGTTTAACTATTGATATTTACTTATTGAATATATTGCACTAGCTATTGGAGGCTCTTATCCCTTTGATGGCAGAGGACGGGTTTTGGCACACGCTAACTTAGATGGGCGGAGCCAGATAGGAGACACTCAGTTTGATGATGATGAAACCTGGACTCTAACCCAAAACGGTAAGCATGTCCAGAGAGTTTGGTGTTCAAACTATTTATTTTTGATTTATTCCTCAGGCAAGCAGTTTAAAAATAACATAAAAACAGTACAATAAAAATATTATCACCGGAAAATCTGGGGAAACCAAACTTTTTCTCATAAATAATACACTCAAAATTTAATTCAACTGATACTACAAACATTTAACTGATAATTGATTATTACATAGTTAAGGGATTGAATATTGGTTACTCAAGCTTTAACTCAATATATGCTTGTCCAACACTATCCTTTCCCAAAGGCTAATCGCTTCTAAACTCACACTTGCAATGACATTCACTTGAATTTACAAAGAGTTTCATAAATGAATTTTATGAAAGAAATGATTTTCTTTCTCACTTGAACTTCCTAAAATATTTATGTGTTCCTTTCTATTTTATTGCTCAGGTTGAATTTGCTGCTGGTGGCAGCTCATGAGCCTGGATCATTCGCGGGACAGACTTGCGTTGATGTTTCCCACACATCAGTACGTCAACACAAATGGCTATAGGCTGCCAGATGAGGATGTACGTGGAGTTCAAGCTCTTTATGGTAAACCACAAAGTATTGATTCAAAAGTAACTTGTTGGCCATCAATCTGAGGCTTTTCAGGTTTAGACTGCTACTGTAAACATACAATGATACAATAATTGAGAGTTTTTGTATTTAGTGGGGTGAATTGAGATCCAGTCCTGTATGAAATATGTGCTAAACAATTACAATATATTCTTATTTCAACTTATTTACAGGCAGAAGAACAGCAGGCCCTAAGCCCAAACCCCCTCCCGCTCCTGCCCCTCAGCCAAACCCAGAGGAAACTGAAGACCCAAACCCTTTGCCCAATCCTGGTGCAGATCAATGCAGCCCCAGTTTGGTCTTTGATGCAGTAACTTCTATAAGAGGAGACTTCTATTTCTTTAAAAATGGGTAAATCTGTAAATTAGCATGCACAATCTAGTTTTACAGTTTTCTTAATATCAGGAGTATTTCTTGCACAGATATTACTGGCTAAAGAGCGGTGCAGCCGATGTACGCCTGGAAAGGGTTCCTTCAAAATGGGGCCCAATAAATCAAGTGGATGCTGCTTATGAGGTCCCAAGCAAAGACACATTTTTCATTATTGACGGTTTGTGTTAACATCTATACGTACTATAGGAGGCCAAATTTATATTTCAGAAATATAGTGTACTGATCATTTGTTGGACAGGCCGCCAGTACTGGGGTATAGGCTACCAATCAAGAAATATGATTCCTGGCTACCCAAAACCTCTGACAAACCTCGGGCTTCCAGCTGGGCTTAGTAAGGTGGATGCAGCAGTTCATGTGACAATAACTAAAAAGACACTATTTTTTGCAAATAATCAATACTGGAGGTAAGTAAACCCTAGAAGGACAGCGAGAAGGACATGATATCTTCAGTTAAGTAAAAATAATTTGTGTTTTGCTTTTGAAGCTACGATGAGGTCAAAAATCAAATGGACCCTGGCTATCCACAATACATTACTCAAGGTTTGCCTGGTATTGATTCAAAAGTAGATGCAGTATTTGAGTATTACGGTAAGAAATATGTAAGTTGAAAAGAAATGCCATAGAAAAACAATGATGGAAACTATACACATTCCTTCCATAGGTTACTTGTACTTCTCAAATGGCCCAAGGCAAAGTGAGTACTACCTACCACTTAAGAAGGTCAATCGTGTCATGATGAACTATAACTGGCTCGACTGCTACTGAAGATGGAAGAACACACGTCTGCTCTGCTAAAACATGACATACACGTTTAGTTTCACAAAATAAAGATCCTCTTCAGCAAGTCAACTTAAGAGCATTTTATATTGTACTTGTCAGTAAATAAATGCCAGATACCTGAAAAATGACCATGTCATAATTAAATTATTTTAGATCAAAATGTTGTGAACATTACTTTTCTTTAAATGGGACCTTTTGTCTATAATTACATTCGTGAATTAAGTACTGTAAGGTCACCTTCAATGTACTCTTTACCAGCACTGTGAGTGGATAGAGGTCCGTCTTTCAGCAAGAAGGTCATAGGGTGGTGTTTGCATGTCTAATCTCTAACCAAGAAAAATGTTTGAGAGCAAATTCTCATTTGCAAACATCACCTGGCCAGAGGCACAGGCAGAAAACATCTATGCACTTGACTTGTACACCAATTAATAATTTAAGCTGCAAGCGGCATCTATAGGCCCTTGGTGCATCTTGCAAAGGAGGTGGCGCATATTCTGGCTCTCGTAATCTTAAATGTTTTATTTAAAATTATAGTACATATAATCAGCCAGTGTGTGTCTCCCTTGAATAACATTGGAACTTTCCCTTGTCTTTATGAAAAAAAAAAAAAAAAAAAAACAAAACTACACTGCACGCACACTGTTTAACTGTGATTCCGTAGCTAACCTTTGATGCTACACTTGTTAATCATAATCATCATCAAACGTTTATCCCAGACTCATGGTCTAGGATAAGACAAACACAGTTTGTTGTTTTAATATTATGTGGAGCAATTTTGAGTTGAATTGGCGGTGGCAGAATTTTTAGCAAGTGAGAACCTGAAAAATTGACTTAATTAGTGTTATAGCAAGATACAGTGGGGCTTACAATAATTAATAAAAATTTTACACCTGTCTGCCATTTGTTATGTTGCCTTTTTAGATACCAAATATTATACTTACATATACAAATAAAGACATATGAGATGGACAATTACAAAGGATGGTATACGTTATTAGAATACATCTATGGAATAAAGGGATGATCAAATTTGTGTTTCAGTGCACGAATATCCGGTGGGGTTCCACGGGTAATCGTCCGTGTAAATCCTTACCAAATAGTTTTTCCGTTCCGGTATCCGTGTCCGTTTGGGTTTATCCCTGGATGTAGCAGTTATTTGTTGAGTTTCTTTTATTTTTGATTGTGTATGGCAATGTATGCAGTATGAATTTGAAGAACTACATAGTTTAAGGTTATATTATGCTTTGCGATACTAACTCATTCCTAGGTTAGACGAATACAGTGTAAACTAGCATTAGCATCACCATTAGCATCGGTTGCATGTAAACAACGATGCACGGCCATACAGGTTCCGACTGACAACAAATACGACGCTGGTCTTTTGCAAAGGTAAGCCACATATTTTTCTTTGAAGCCCTTTGAATACGATTTTACTAAACGCTCTGGTTGTGATTAGTTTGTAGACGGTCGTTAGCTATTCCATGGAAAACAAGCGGTGCCTTTTTAAAGCTATTGGCTACTGGAACATGTATAATATGCGCCTGTCTAACCCTGTCTCTCTAGGGCAAAAGGCTCTTATGGAGTCCCTCAACACTTTTGAATCTGTTATGGAGACCGACGGACAGGGAAACTACTCTTTATTTCCTGCCCTGGACAATATTGCTAGTTTGTCTGGGACTTCTGAAACATTGGAGAGGTAAGATATGTAGATTTTTTTCACAACACGATTTGTTAGTTTTTGTTAAATTTATTTAATGCTATACTGCTTTTTTTTGTTGTTGTAGCGAAGCTCCCAGTGAAGTAACAGAAAAGCCTAATCTCACATGGCTTGATGCTGCACAGGTAAAATTGCATACCTAGACAGTGCTCTCACGGGATAAAAAAAAGTAACTACAGGTTTAGTCAGTAACAACATTATTCACTTCTTCCAAAACTGCAGTGCTGGAAGTGCCGTAGTTTATATAGCTATATGTTGTGCAATTGTACATTGTTACTTTCAATTAATGTCAATTAATTGTTAATTGATTAATTTGGAATTGAATGATTACATCTTGTAATTTTCAGGATCTTGTCCTTTAACCTTTAAAATGGGTTAAAGGACAAAATATTTGTCTACCTAAACGTTTCGGTCATTAAAAAAAAAAAGTGCTTGTTTTGTGGGGACTAATGATCAAACGTTGCTTTAGTGAAGATGATGTAATGTGGTTTTATTGACCTTGTTTTGTTTTCAGCATACACATAGTGATAGCACTCTTTTTGTTATGTAGATTGTGTTAGAAGAAGCCGGGCGGCCGATGCACATCAAAGAGATCAAGCAAAGAATCATCGACAGGGGACTAGTTCAATCAAAGTAAATATTCCATAATTTTGCATGGAATTAGATAAAGTACCATGGTCAATTTGTGGCATTTTTCTTTCACAGTGCAAAGTCAAGCCTGGAGGCTGTAATGTATCGAGAGGTAATTGTTGTGTCCAACGGCTGTTAAATGTTTCAACCTGCACCAAATGTCAAATTTTCAGTTTGTGTTTGTTTCACCTAAATCACTGTTGCTGTTTCAATTCATTTTCACCTATACTTATACCACCTTCAGGTTACACAACAACAGTATTCATAAATTTATGAATATGGTTATTAATCTATATGGATCTAATTTGGCATTTAGCAACTTCTATTGGCTTCAGTCTTACACTATGTTTCAGACACAAAAAGGCAGTAGGAGATTCAAGAGGATTGAGAACAGAAATGGAGTCTTTGCGTTGCTGGTGAGTTTTAACGGGACACTTGCTGTCTAATCTTTTCACTAAGAGTAACAAATGTATAATAAATCAAATCTAATAGCGCCTGAAACATATTTACAGCAAAACAACATATAGAGTAGATCTGATTCCTTCATTCATAGTAGCATTCATTTCAACTCATTGTTGTAAATGGGTCAGGAGTGTAATTCATCTTATGCTCACAACGGCTCTGTCTTTTTAGACTGATGAAGACCGACATCAGCCCTATACACCTCAGTCGTTTCTTAGCTCTCCTCAGACCACGGTGTCTTCTAGTTCTGGCTCAGGGACTTCAGCAACTGCATTTCCCTCTCCTGCAAGTTCATCTGAGCATAAGATCAAGACAAAGAGAGGGCAACGAAAAATCCAAAATCAAAAGTATAAACTCAAGTATCTACGGTTACGCAAAGCCGCTCGTACAATGATATTTGTAAGTGAAAATAATGGGATTGAGAAACTCAAGAGAATGATTTGCTTCTGATAATGATAATCTTAACCGTAGGAGAATGCTGCCCTCTGTGATGAAATAGCACATTTAGAAGAGAAGTTTATAAGGGCAAAAGAAGAACGGAGGTTAGTTTGCTGATAACGCGTCAAGTACACATGGGGGGTGGCTTTACTTCATCGTGCATTTTTTTCATTTTCAGATTTTTATTGAAGTCCCTGTTACAGTACCAATCACTGTCAGAGAGTGAGCTCCTACCCACACCCAGCGCCAGCGTACATGCCCCTGTTCAAAATGTAGCCATGACTTCAACATCTGCTGGGACGTCCAGTATTTCAGGAGGACACAGCCTGCCCTCTGTCCCGATGACGGAAGAGGGTCTGTTAAAAAAGCCCAAGAAAGAAAGGAAGGAAAAAGCTAGAGAGAATGGCAAAGATGAAGGTAAAGGCTAAAAGGATCATGTACAAAAGAAAGCTTTGAATTTTATGTAGTCTGTATGAACTATGTTTTCTTGTAGTTTCAAGAAAGATCTCCAAGAAGCGTAAACTTGCTGATGGCTCTCGCAAACTGGTGCAGCCCATCCCTCTGGACTCATCTGGACGTCCAGTGTTTCCGATTGTCCTGGGAGGTTTAACGATTTACAGTTTGGGAGAGGTCAGTATCAGTAATGCAATGAACTCCCTTGAGTTCTGCCAAATTGCTATGATTTTACACCGTTTCCCAGATCATCACTGACAGGATGCTGTTTCACGATGAGTGTGCCATCTACCCTGTGGGTTTCTGCAGCACTCGAGTGTTTGCCAGCATGAAAAGCCCTGAGCAGCAGTGTCTGTACACGTGCCAAATCAAGGATGGTGGAGCAGGACCACAGGTGACACCATTTAAAATGTGATCAGGATTCAAAACATCAAAGGCTCCGTGAAAACACACAACTATTATTCTAATTTCCTCACAGTTTGAAATTGTCCCTGAAGAAGATCCACAGAATGCTATTGTGGCTTCTTCCGCCATAACATGCCATGCCAATCTGCTCAAGGCTATCGCAGCGGCCAGGTAGGTGTTAATAGTTTGTTTAGGTCATATTACAAGCATGTGATCTCTTGACACGTGTATCATGCATGAAGAATTATCCTAACAACATTGTAAAGCGCTTTGGGTGACCTTGGTCTGTAAAATGCGCTTATATAAATAAACATTACCTACTTACTTACAACAACGATAGACTTCATTTCAATATGATTTTTCAACAGCTTAAAACCAGTGGTCCCTGTAATACCGTCCGGTGCAGATTTCTTTGGCTTCTCTCATCCTACAATACAAAATCTCATACAGAGCTGTCCTGGAGCCCGTAAATGTACCAAGTAAGTGCCTTTCTCCTCTGAATTTGACCGTATACATTTATAATAACCTCTGTGGGTAGATTAACAAAGGCTTTTCAAATATTAATATGTGGTACCATAACAACCCCTTTGTTAATAAATGTCAGTATCAGTGTTTGTAGGCTGTGGACCTGGCTTGGTCAACATTAAATATTCAACACATAGATCAAAAGATATTTGTAACTGAGACACCACATACACAGCCTTTTCTCCTTACAAATACTTATTCAGGTTAGAGTTTTCTGTAGGGATTTGTGTGTTTTTCTACCATGTGCTTGAGATTGATCCTCTCTCCACAGCTATCGATGGATACGTTTTGATGTGTGCAGGCCTGGTGATGGGCAGATCGCTCACAGTCTATCGGAGGATGACGCTTCTATTAACTTCGACGCCTTCCAGAGACATCAGAGTAGTAAAGACACCTTAAAGGCGGAGAATGTCATAGGTATCAATAATTTTCTTCTATTTTGAACTGTTTTTGTTGTTGTTGCCATTTAATTTGGCCTATGAGTGTTATAAAAATGTGTTTTATTTGTTCAACATGAAGAGCAGTAGGAATACCGAGTACGAAAAGAGATGAATTGGAAGCGTCAATACTATTAGCTAAGGAAATTGTGCACTCAATACAATAATAGCAGTATTTTTATTTATTTATAAATATATTAATTAAAATTGGTATGTTTTAGTGAAGAGAGGATAGATGCATTCATGCCTCAAATAAACATTATTGTTTATTTTATTTTTATTTTTCACAGCAGCGTTGTGAATACATTTGTAAATATTACTCTTTCCACAGTGCAACCCCCCCAGTCGCCCAGCTCTTCTCATCAGCACCATATGCCTTCTCCAAATCTTAAGCCCTCTACCTCCTACTACAGCTCCTGAAGATGGCCAGTCATTGAAGTCACTTTAAACCATGGTCAATTGTGGACAAAAACATTTCCATCTCCAGAACACTTATAATTCACAACATGCATAAACGGTGATAAATGTTTCTCTGCAATAAAGACACACATGTCATAAATGCATTCAGAAAGATTTTCATAACATTCTCTAGAATATTGTTTTATTGTTTTACCATAGCAGCAATTAAGATAAGAAAATATACTTTTGATCTCACACAGGAGAAATGACAGTTATAATCAAACCTGCATGCGTTTTGTTGGATAAAGTGCATTGCAATTTGAACACCTTCATGTGCAAATAAAAATAATAAAGAAATTATAGCTTCTGCCAGTGTTTTCTTTCAGTCATTGAAAATATTTCCCTCCCTTCTATTTATAGAAAGTCATTTCCTGGACCAATTAGGGTTAGAACCTATAATACTATTTCCTTCTGCTCACCAGAGTTAAAGTAAAGATGATTTTTTTCTTCTTTTCCATCCAGATGAATCAAAGTGGATAATAAAAGGTGGTGCAGGTAAACATGTATCAGAGCCGTAAACCGGACAAGCTTTGAAGTCACAGGGCCAGTCTCTCCAGGCGTATCGGACTGCACCCACCACATCAGGCTGTGCACACAACTCTGTCGATATCTGTATTGTATTATTGTCCCACTTCATTATGGAAGCAGGCATCCACTTGAACCCTAAAATGTGGAATATGGAATTTGAAGAACAACCAATCTGAAAAAGTATGACACAATTATTCTTTAATTTTGTTGCAAAAACTTTGCGTATCTATGAAATAAACACTTTCATCTTACCTCAAAGATGTCTTCAGATGGTGAGACTGAGAGTTCCTGATCAAATGTAATGGTAACGTACGTGTTATCAGGAAAGATTAGGTCAGGGAAAGGTCCATTGAAAGTAGAAAAATTATTATAAGCAACAGCTTGTGCTCCAAGTGTCAGTCTGTATGCAACGTCCTGCTTGTCTCGCGGATGGATTCTGAAATTTGAGCTTTGGTTTAGTACAATCAAAACTATTACATTTGCGTAAATGCATATCAACTTACGTTCCATAAGGGGATGTATCATCGGGCAAATCCATAGCTACAGCCATAAAGGTGTTTTTCATCCTAAAGTTTGGAACAAATCCATAGTCTGCAGTCTGGTGCCATCGTATTTCAGGAAAACCGTTATCTGTAGATGAATGCTCATATGTACTGAGCTGGACAGAAGACACTTCTTTGTTACACTGACTTTCCAAAAAAGTAGATACATAAAGCAGACTTTGCTTTCAAATTACTTGCACAAATCCAAAAGGAAACTCAATTTCAGTCTGACCCCCTGAGCCCTTGTGGAATCCAGTCCTCCAGTTATCGATCATGGCTGGAAAGGTGCAGCTGTACAAGTCTCTGTGATATTTTGCATTGTTTTCACCTACAGAACGGCATTTATGAGCTGAACTACACTGTGATAGCAAGCATTATTTTATTGTTGTCTTACCTTGATACCAAATTGCCCCTTTGATTGTCATGGGAAGCAATGGGTGAATCATTGCATTCCACAAGACTGAGTTTTCTGTGGGACCAAGGTAGCTAACACACAAAAGTAAAAACAGAAGTAAGGTTTGGTGAGCATAATAAAAGTTATATTCAATCAATGTTACTTTTCATCCTTGTGATCCAGGCCACACTTCTTCAGTGCTGTGTGTGAGGACCATGCCTCTACAGTCGTGCCTCCCCAGCTGGATTCTACCAACCCAACAGGGGAATTTAAGGTCTTGTACAGGTAACGCCCAAACAACCAGCACACTGCAGAGAATGGAGCCAAGTCTTCTAAATACAAAACAAGGAATAATTAAAATGTTCTTGCATGTCCATCAATGTACGTAAGTAAATGGCAAAATGTAGTCTTACTTTCATTAGGTACAGACCACGGAATATTTACTTTATCCAAGTCCTGCTGCTCTATGTCATTCTTATCTAAGCCCACCATAAAAAAACGCACATGGGGATAATTGGATGCGAGGGCAAGCTCCTCTGATGCGTTAAATATCTAATTGACAAAGACACATTTATGTAATGTATTGTTTTCTACATTGTTTGTTTGTACCTGTGACACTTCAAAGTACATGTTGCTTTGACCACTACACAACCACACATCTCCAAATAAGACGTCCCTCAAAGTAACAAAGCTGTTTGTGTGATTGGTCAAAGCGGCTGTGATGTTGTAGGGACCCCCAGATTCCACAGGGCCAAGAATCACTCGCCACATCCGCGTTTCTAATCACAAAATCAAGAAAGTCAAGAAGAGAAATATTAGGTTAATTATTTACTTTAATATTCAAACACCCAGACAAGAACTTCAAGAAAATGATAGCTGCATTGGTGTCATGAATGGAAAGCTTAGAACTTCCTTATATCCATTCCAGTATGAATGTGGTTAGATCAAACACACACTGTAAACCCTAACTTCAATCGTACTTCAGATATCAAAGTTATTTTAAATAGATTTTACTGAATATTACTCATTTATTAGTAGTTTATTTAAAGCTTGGTGATATCACTCAGGGTTTTCTTTGAATTGAACTCTCTCTGTTCAAGTAAGCCTCACTTTTGACATTTTGACGTGTAGAGTGTTAAATAAGACAGGTGTGAAATGGGGCGAGGTAGCATGGTGGCTGAGTGGGTAGCATCTTCACCGCTCAACTTTAAGATTGTGAGTTCAATTCCTGGTCGAAGCAAAATGTAAAATGTATTGCAATCGCTTGAGTTACTTGGTAATATCAAGTAAAGGATGTACTCGAGTAATTCAAGTGAAGTTAATATGCAATTTGTTTCCAAGGTTTTTTCAAGTAAACTTTACTTGTTAGGGTTTACAGTGCAATTGTATTCAATCTTATCACTCAATTGTTCTTACCACCATATTTCTGATGGATTACATACAGTATGTTGCATGAGACAACTCCAAGGCTCCCATCAATAATGTATTTATTGCTCGCCATAGAATGCTGCTGCGGGCGTGGCCCTTCATCGGGGCAAAACATGACCTGACACATTTTCCGCTATGTTGGTATAGTTATTCTCTGCTGTATGCACCTCATCAGGAGTGGACATACCATTTGAGACTGAGACAAGTATTTCCTGTGTTGTTGGTCCCTGGACAGAAACGGTGACCTGTGTTCCCAAGGGGCCACATCCCCACAGCACGGCTCTCTGTGGTGCTCGTTGTAGCACCATATGATCCCCATAATAAGAGGCAAAACCCAACTTTCCGTCTCCACATGGCCGCAGTTGCTCTGTAGCTGAGGCTGAATAGCACAAAAAGGCACCTGTCAAAACACACCATTTATAATAGTCCCACTGAAAGTAACGAAACTTACTGGTAAAACTGATTGCAGCCACAAGTAGAACTAAAAGCAACAAGCACATGGCGAAGAGTCCTAGAATTACGCGGAAGTTTGCAGATCTTTCACATGGATGTATTCTCACAGAAAACGAGCGCATTATTACCCATAATGACTGCGCACAACACGCGTGTGCACCTCTTCTCTCTGGCCCAGCAGGCTCCAGAGCTCTTCAAAATAAAACTAAACTCGTGATTGAGGGGATAAATTATGGAAACACTACTCTGAGCTTTTAACCATGTTGCTACAATTTTCCCTCATCAAAAACAGATAATGTCAAAATTAGTTCATGTCTCAGTCCTGTAATACTATGACGTCATTTTACCACTTTGACATCAGCCGCAGATCAGTTTTCTACGTTTTCCATAAATAACTTCAAAATGTAGTGAAATTACACTCTTAAAAAATAAAGGCTGGAGCTGTTGACATCTTGCACTGAGGGAAATCAAAATTCAAATGGCACCTTAAATTATTTATTTATATATATATTTTTTTTCTAAACCAAGAGATATGGCACCAACACTATACATAGTTCCCACAGACCAATGAATGTCACATGACCTCCTCGGAGACGCCATCTTTGATGGCACGCTGCTGTGTTTGTGCATTCCATTAAACAGAAGAATGAGAATAAATGTAGATATTCAAACGCAAATTGGAAAAAAGGGCAACTTTTGAGCAAATAATTGTATATTAATACAATGGCACCACAGTTTAACGTGCTACGGACATGTTTTACATATTTGATCAAATTATGCAGCAAAAATTAACAAGCAATGCAAACATTTCTCAAAAACTTTAGATTTAATACCAGTTGGAGCTCCATTTAATTATTGTAATTATATTAACAATTAATTTAATTAATGCTAATGCCACACGGACACTCTGGATTGCTGTTATTGTTTATTTCCGCGTTTTTGACCGTATGTTTTGGTGAATGGTGGGCAACTGATTTTTCCAGGCGTAAAGAGCAGTTTATTTTATGACACAGATCTTTTTACAGAAGCAATGCTGTTTGTGAACATTGTTTTAGCCCACCATAGAACTATTATTATCTATTTAATACATTTACGTTGCCCTCGAGAGCCTCGGACGCGACACCGATCCTCCTCATAATAAAGTAATCTAACGCTAAATAATGAAACTCTCAAGTTACCAGATATCAGCATACACAAGTTAGTACTGAGTAAATTACGTCTGTCAACACATTATGAGATACGATACGCACCTGACACAAAGTGCTCCGAGCATATTCTTGCGTGTTTTGAGGGAGTTTCTTGCCTGTTTATCTTCGCAAGCCATAACCTCCGTCGTTGTTCTGACAAAAGCTTAGTCTTCTCACATTCATGAAGTCTAATGATGGGTATACTGTAAAATCCAAGTTTAACGGAACCTCCGGCACGATTTGAACATCCATTGACCCAGCAGGAGATGACCATTTTCAACTTTATCACGACATTAACACGTTTCAGCTTCTTTTTCTATTGTTTTGCCCACAGCATGCCAATACAAATGGCGCCGGGTCGGCAAATCCCCGTATGTAGTGACGTCATGTGGGAACTATGTATTGCGGGTGTCTATGCTAAAAAGTCATTTTGAGTTAAACTGGGTTAAAACTAGTTTTAGTAACTTTTAAAATAGAGGAAATACAATCCAATTCATATTAGGATGTAGTTAACACTTTTTGTGTGTTATCAAAAGTGATATTTCCACTAATCACACCAGGTCAGAATTGTTGATTACTGAGAATTATGTTTCACTTTTTCAAGCAGCTTGATACTTTTGTCTCAGTTTTAAAAATGCAAATTCTAGTAATGCGAATGTCCCATAGTGAGACTTTGGGATTTCAATTAGTACATTATTGTTAAAACATTTAAATCAACTGTGATATGTTAAGCCATCATAGTGTCTCTACTCTGTGTTGGAGATGAAAAGAACATACCAGCCTGAGGTAATTAGCAAACAACAACATGAAAAAATGGAAAGTGGGGTAGCATTAATTATGTGATTGTTTCCTGAGCAGGTGTTTATTTAGTGAAGTATTTCTGTGTGATCACCTGTGGAGAAACAAATGACATTACCACGTTCCTCAGGCATACCATCCACCATAAAAAGAGTGGGGGTAAATATCTCATGAAATATTCAATCAGCTGAAAGTCCCAAGGTGCATTGCAACTGAGTCCATATATGTTGGTTTTCCGGGAATGTTTCTCAGTTAACGTGAAATTTTCCTATATTACAAAGTTGTATATAATTTTTTTGTGTGGCATTGTTTCATTATTATCCTACACATACTTTGGCACTAAATATACAATTAGGGCCACAAGATGTAAGCTTATTGTTTGTATCATCATAAGGTACATTCCAGAAATAGGATCTCCATTGCAACTGTGGTGACAGTTTTTGGAGTAATTACATAAAACCAGCCGCAGCAAATACACGGACGTCAAAGGCCTTTTATCAATGCAGACGACCTTCTGACGCCATGCTGAGCTTTGTGAGGGCCCCTGCTGTCTGTCACACCCTTGTGTCTTTCGTATTTCGCATCTGTATGCCTGCCTCTCTACATCCTGCATGACCATTGTCTGTCTGTTCGCACCCCCATCCCAGACGGCGCCAACGCTCCCCATGCGCCTCCTCACCGGTGGCCCCCTCCCATCTGTTGTGGGCGGGACTGGCTTTCGTGTGTGTCTTGTAATACAGGAAACTCGGGGCTCTGCGCTCAGAGCTGGTACATGCTGCCTTTGAGTGTATGTGCTGGCTCTCCGCACGTGTGTTAACAATAAACTTACGCTTTTTATCAGACAAAGGACCTTTGAGTTTTCTCCTTCATTGGGTAGAAACTTCCTTAACAATTTGGCGTTGCTGACATGTCTTGGCATGGATACTTTCGGCGGGGACGAGCGGCTTTGTTTGGCCGACCTGGATCACCAGCCTCTGTTCCTTTTTGGAGACAAAGGAGGGCGCGCTCGTCCCGCGCACGGAAGGAATCCTTTTGCCACACAAGACCAAAAAGAACCTAATTTGGTGAGTTTTGTCTTTTCATCTGCGTAAACGAGCCCAGGGCAAACTTAAGTGTACACGGGGATTTGTTTATTTATGTATTTTTGGGGTATTTCATTCATTGCCACAGCATAGTCTGTGTGCGGGATTTTTTTGGGGGCTTTTGTTCTAGATTGAAGCTAGCGGCTGCGCGTTAGTATCGCCCTGTAAGCGACCCTGATAATTTCTCCAAGTGTCTTCAGCCAGAACCGCTCCGTTTTCAAGAACGCGCGCTCGCTGGTTGAACCAGCGGGGGGGGGAACGGAGCGCCCCAAAGTGGGTAGGAGCAGGGAAGAGACTAAGCGGGTTAGGCCCATTGTTCGTACGAGAAAATGGGTAAAATCAATCTACAGATGCAAGCTATGAAGGGCTTGCCTATGGTGCAGGGCATCTGGTTTTTTTTTTTTTTCCGATGGAGGCCATATGTCTCCGAATCATTTACGCATCTTGCGTGATAAATTTAGAAGAAGAAGGGAAGAAAAAATATACTTGGTTTTAAGAATATCACGGCAAAAGAGGTTAGAGAAAGAAATATGTAAAAACAATAGCTCCTCCGCCTTTCGCCGAAGCGGAGAACACACAGGCGGACACACACACACACACACACACATCCCCCACACCCCCACCCTACCGCCCTCTCTCACCTACTAACCCTTTCACACTAGGAGCAGAACTCCATGCTAAGTACGCGCCCAAACAAGGCGTTGGGTTTTTAAAAAAATGAAGCAGACTACTGTTGTCTCTTTTCCCTCTTCCCTATCCAGGTCTGTCGGCGCCTTTCCTCCGCGCTCTGTCCTCTGCCTCAAAGCACCAGCCCCACGCCCCAACCACAGGCGGCGCCCGCACCAGCTGAGACCCCGCGAGAAGTGGGCCCAAACCGCAGAAGAAGAAGAGGCGGAAACAGACACACGCTCAGGAAACCACAGAAGAAGCGGGGGAAGCAAATATGTGAGACACCGACAACTGCTTTGGAGCACAGAGAGAAACTGCTCCAAATCCCGTGACTGTTCTCCACGGAGGGGGCAGCGTGATATACCAAACGCACCCGCGGAAACCCCCTTGAAAGTTGTTCCCGCACCGCAAACAGAAGAAGCCATTGTGACCGGCACGTTTGGGTTATTCACCAACCCTCATGGACCACATGCTAACGCTTTGGGCTACCTGGGCCTCCTGCGGACTTTGAGAAACTTCCACAGCCCGGCGGAAAGACTGTGTGCTCGACATGGGTCGAAGGACTGTTACCGGAGGAGGCGTTAAAGGCAGAGGAACGCTCAAGCTCACACGGGGCCAGAGGACGGCAGAGGCGGGCACGGAGGAAACACGAGCGACTGACCAAACCTGGGTTCACATTCGTCACCAAAGCGACCGCTCATGTAAGTTGAACAACAACAAATTGCAATTGGCACTTTTTAGAGATAATTCATGCCCGTAATATACGCTAACAATCTGTGGTGTACAAGTTAAAATTCTGGATGACTCCGGGGCAACAAATTCTGTGCTAAAAGTGACAGCCTTTCTGTCTCCCCTAAAATGAGTGGCCGTTTCACATTCTCATTAGCAGCGTCGGGAGAGACGACGAAAGAGCAATTTACGTCACCGCTAACGTGTTTTGATTCTCAGGGCAACCAGCTTAAACATTCTTTTCTATATTCCCCATTGTGCCCGGTTAATCTACTAGGCCGAGACCTTATGTGCAGACTCAATTAAAAATAGATAAATAAAAGGAGGCACCGGTCCCAAAAGTTAACTACCACTGGAAATTGACACCAAACCCTGAGATTGCTAAGTTATTAGCCACAACAAGTGGATAGAGTGCACAAAATTTGGAGGTCAACCACGCGAACGACCTAAGCTGCTCTCTCCGGTCGTTCCCAGACAATAACTTAGAGTTTGAAAATTCATGGCTTCAGTGTAGTAAAGATAGGCTACAAACGGAGTATGTTTATTGGGATAGGCACCACGCTATGGTATTTGTGCGACTTA